ACCACACCAGCGAGAATTGGAGAAATTTATTGAGAAAGAGAGATGCAGACAGACACCCAAGCAACAATACACTCCTTATCGATGCTTCCTACGCCATGTGGGCTTCCTGACTTTAACATATCTGCACTTGTCTCATATTTTTATTTATTTACCCATTTTTAATAAACTGAAATGATTACTTCTGTATTATTTGTTGTGCTACTGTATTACCTGTTGCTGCATCACAAATTATCCCATGACCTAATGACTGGAACAGTAACTAACATTCTCTGAAACAGTTTCTGTGGGGGAGGTATCCAGAAGGTGCCAGCGGTAGACCTTTTTCTGGATCCCCCTGGGCTGCAGTCATCTGAAGGCTTGATGGGCTGAAGGGCTCACTGCTAGGATGGCCCATTCACATGCCTGCAAGTTATTGATGGTAATTGGAGGAGACCATCAGGTCCTTGTCATGTGATCTGCCCGAGTGCCCTCACAGAATGATAGTTTGCTTTACCTGGGGCTAGAGTGAGGGGTCCACGAGGAAGCAAGGCAGAAGCCACAGTGCCTTTTATGATCTAGCCTCCAGAGTTCACTTTGCTGTTATTATAGCATCATTGTGGGACCCGAGAGGGTGGAAATGCCAGGAGATGGGCATTACGGGGGCTGTCTTGGAAGCTGGCTGCACAGCTGACTAATATCCCTGTTGTTCATCATTGATTGCTTTCTGTTTTTGGACAGCAGTGTGGAATGAGAGTGGCCATTCTATATGCATGGCTTCTCTTGAAAATAGACCAAAAGAATTTGAGACTCCAGTTAGCTTCCAAATTGTCAGGAACACTGATGTTTCATAGAATTGCATTGATTTAGAGTTTATTGATTTGAGAATTTGTGTTAATAGAGGAACCATTTATAGGATTTTTCTTAAGTAACAAATTTAGAATAGTTTCCTTTTGGGGAGGCCTCACTAGAAAACAAGGTGAATGGGTGATTTAAAATGATTGTTTTAAAATCTGATTTAAAATGATTGTTATCAAATATTTCTTTGATTGTTGTATCTTAGTTCTTTGGGGCTGCTAGGTGATTTAAAATGATTGTTATAAAATATTTCTTTGATTGTTGTAAGGTGATTTAAAATGATTGTTATCAAATATTTCTTTGATTGTTGTATCTTAGTTCTTTGGGGCTGCTATTAACAAAATCCCAGACTGGGACACTTAGAAACAACAGAAATGTACTCCTCATTCTGGAGGCTGGGAGTCAGCGCAGGGGGACGTGTGCTCTGCTGAGGGCTCTCGCCTATGGGAGAGGTGAGGGTCTCTCTGGAGCCTCTTTTGTAAGCACCAGTTCCATCTATGAGGGCTGCACACTTAATGGCTAAGTACCTCCCAAAGCCCTCGTGTACTGATACTTAGAATTTCAACATATGAATTGGCAGGGGCACACATTCTCACCATAGCATTTTTTAAGTAGACTGACTATTCATATACAGGCATTCCTCAGATAAAGTTTGTTTTTTTTTCCGTATCTTTCTTATTCTTATTCATTTTCTTTGGTTATATTTGTCCCAACTGGATTTAAAAGCTGCATTTTTTTTTTTTTAAGTTCGTCACTAGGAATTAGGTTTTGTTTTCTCATAGGAAAAATTGTTATATTTTTGTCTTTTTTGAGTTTAACTTGTGTTTCAAGGCTAATCCACAATTATTTAATGTATTAGAGACTATTTTTGTTTTGGAAGTTAGAAGGAAATAATGCCATTGCAGTGTTAGTAAAGAGCGAAACCAAAAAAGTGCATTCTTGAGCAAGAGGAATTATCATTAATCTAGTGCTTAAGGAAAACTTTCTGTAATTTGAGAGGTCTTATTAGAAAACCAGAAAGAGGTCTTTGGATTTCATTGAACTAATTTACTTAAATTATGTATATGTACCAGTACACACACACACACCGGAATCAAATCCTATTCTCACCTTCCTTGGCCTCAAGGTATCCTTTTATTTGTTTTGTTGTGTGTTTTTTGTTTGTTTGTTTGTTTAAGGCTGATTTATTTGGAAGGAATCTGCTAGGAAGTCCAAGTAGAATGAAGAAAAGACTGATGTTATCTAGTAAATCTTAGAAGAAAAAGGAAGCATCTTGGAGATTAAAAGAAAATGAGATCAAAGTAGAGGCTGGATGAAAATTTTTTTATTTAAAGATTTGTGTCCAGCTGGCATGGCTCAGTGGTTGAATGTCAACCTATGAATCATGAGGTCATGGGTTGATTCCTGGTCAGGGCACATGCCTGTGTTGCGGGTTTAATCCCCAATGGTAGGGTGTGCAAGAGGCAGCTGATGAATGATTCTCTCTCGTCATTGATGTTTCTCTCTCTCCCTCTTCCTTCTTCTCTAAAATCAGTAAAAATATATTTTAAAGAATAATTGTTATACTGTTTTTCTAAATAGTAATAAATTAGAAAGTTAGTTGATGCTTAAAAGATGTAAGTGTGGAGTAATATGTAAACAAATATAATATGTTGAATGAGATTAGATCTTGTGGTTAATTCATGATAAATTATAATCTTGTATGAGTCAGTAATAATATACTTGAAAGTTTATTTGATACTAGATAACAAAGCAGTTCTTGGAATTGAGTTATTTGTAATATCTCCTGTGGGTGGTTCATACACTGCTGTAGATAAATGTTAGAAATTCTGTATAGTTAATTAGTTTTGTATTCTTTGTAGAGTAAATGGGATAAAATAAATCATATTGAGAAACAGGCTATTTATTGGGGAAATTTTCTATTTATGAGTCTTAAAACTGAAAATAGATAAAATATTATCTGGAAGCTAAGGGGACATGTCCTCTCAGTTTCAAAGATCCTTGCTGGATCTTGGATTTTTATAATTTCTCTTAGTCCAATGATATATTTATATCAGCTTTTTATCAATTATTTTAAAATTTCCTTTATATTGATTTAAGTTCAGTGAATCAGAGTCCATGTATAGTGGACTAACCAAGAGTTACAATGAAACATAAGATATGGATCCACACTTCAGAATGTTCACCATTTACTGTGGAACAACTCATTTATACATATAATAGAGAAATATGCTAATTAACCGGGACACCGTAACAGGTCAACCAGACAGGAGGAGGTTTCAAATGCAGGGTCAGGGGCGGGGTGGCAGTGGCCATGGTTGCTTCATGGGCCAGAGGGGGAGGCAGGGCTGGACTGGCAGCAGCCACAGCTACTGTAGAGCCTGGGGAGGAAGGAAGGGCCGGACTGAAGACTCGAGGGTGGGCGGTGCCACACTATTTTGAATCTTGTGCTGGGCTCCTAGTGTATAATAATGGAGATAAAACTTTTGTAACTTTTTCAGTGACTTCTTTTTGCTACAAAGAATTTAAAGTATTTTATGTAAAGCTAAGCAATGTTTCCCAAAGTGTGGTACGCGTACCCCCAAGGGTACAGGAGGAGTTTGGTGGGGGTATGCGTTGCACCGGAGTTTGGTGGGAATATACACTGCACCGTGCTCAGCTGCATGTTCTCATAAGTATGAGGGGTATTCAGCGTTACGAAAATTATAGAAGAGGTAAACATATGTCAAAACTTTGGGAAACACTGAGCTACAGTAAGCTTTAGAATGGAATCTGATATTGATGATACATGTGCAAATCTAATGCTTACGGCCTCCTCCCGCCCTCCATTCAGGAATTGAAAATGCACTGCCCTGCAGGAAGGTTATGAGTGGAGAAGGACTTGTGTCTTCAGCCCTGGCTGCTGTGGCTCAGTTGGTTGGAGCATGGTCCCATGCGCCAAAGGGCTGTGGGTTTGATTCCTGTTGGGGTACATGCTCAGGTTTCGGGGTGCATGCAGGAAGCAGATCTATGTTTCTCTCTCTCCCTCTCTAGAATCAAGGAAAGAATATCATAGGGTGAGGATTTAAAAAAAATAAATAAATAAACAATTGTCTTCAGATAGAATGAGGGTCAGGAAGTCCTAGCAAACTTAATGGGGGTGGGATTTTCCCCCTTTTCTTCTTGACTTATTTAGAGGGATGCCAGTGAAATGCTCTACTTGAAGTTTCTAGAGAGGAGGAAGGGAGAGTGATCTTGGTAAAATACCTCTGCAACACTAGAAATGAGAAGATGGTGGAATAACATCTATAAACTATTGAGGGGGAAAGGCCCGCAGACCAAAAACTGCATAACACTGTATACATACCTAGTAAAAAATGCCAGGGCAGAAAACAAGACATTTTTGGAAAATGCAAGGAATATCAGCTATGGATCTCAAATGCTGAAGATTCTACTTGAAGTATTCTAGATGAAAGTTGAAGCAAAACGTTCTCCTGAAGATAAAGGAAGCAGATTTCCTGTAAAATCTGTACAGTATGATGAGTGATCATCTACTGGGTGGCGTAAATCAAAAATTTTGTTCTACTTTTGTGCCCCTTTCCACTCATCCCAGACCCAGTCCGCCCCAACCCCATTCCCTACACAGCTCTTTACTGTCACTTTGTGGATGTTTAGGAAACATGCACTCTGACCTAGAATTTCTGTTTTTATTTATTTATTTAAATCACTGTAGGTTTTTGTTTGTTTTTAAATTTATTTTTACGGAGAGGGAAACATCACCCATGTGAGAGCGGAGCATCAGCTGGCTGCCTCCTGCACTCCCCCCTACTGGGGCTTCAGCCTGCTACAGGCATGTGTTCTGCCTGGGAATCGAACCGGCAACCTTTCAGCACTCAGGAGGATGCCCAGCCAGCGGAGCCACACCGGCCGGGGCTAGAAAATCTGCTTTTCAATTGCTGTACTTCCTACCGCAAATGGCTGTTTCTCGGAAACCTGTTGGTCACGGCTCTTATTGCAACAACAGCAACAAGCTGTGGCAGATTTAAACAAAAGAGGGACTCACTGGCAGGGCTGGGTGGCCGGGGTCCTTGGGAAGGCCGGGGAACCCTGGCTAGAAATGGAATGGAGGGGACAGCACTGCATCTTCATTTAGAAGTAAAATGCCCTTTTTTCCTTTTCCAATGTAGGTTATATATTTGGGGAAAACTCCAGAAGAAGCATATTCAATATTAATGTTCGGCAATACAACCTACATTCCTTTCAGGTAAATGTAAGATGATATGGTAGATTCATTTAATCAGGCGCCAGAAATACCTGGGTGCAGGGGTTTCAGAAAAAGCGGACCTGGTAAAGTCTGTCTAGGGCGAGGGCACTCAGCAGGTACGCAACTGGTATCTTGTTGTGGGGCTGCCCTGTGTATTGTAGGGTGTTCAGCAGCACCCTGGCTTCTGCCCACAAGATGCCAATGACACCTCTACCCCCACAACAGTTGTCAAAGCTAAAAAGTACGCAGGCATTGCCCAATGTCCCTGGCATGTGGTGCAGGTTGCTCTACTGAGTCCCACTCCCCTTGATGGAACCGTCAGATGAGGGTCCTGCCTTAGGGTGTTCAAAGCTACTTCTGAGGAGTTTGAAATAAAGAGATTAAGAAATAAATTTTCCCACTAGTTAATTTCTGGGATAAAAACTAACCCTTTCTCCTAAGGCACAGCCAGCAGAGATCGTAGGTGAGGCTGCTAACTAGAAAAAGCAAAGGCTGTGCCTCAGAGCCGCTAGATGAGTGATGTCTGCATGAAGGGTGACATCCTCACTCTCCTCTCGCACTCATTACGTGATTGTGCTGAAGATCTCTGGGGAAAAACTTTTTTCTTTAAATCAAATTAAGTTCTGAAAGTTTTTCTACCTGTTTACCAAAATATTTGACTTAACTATATAATCTAAATACTTATATGGTGCTGAATGTGTAGTAAATGTGTGAAGTAATTTTACTTGTTGCCTGCTGTATGGATAATCTCAAATATCGCATTATTCTCCCACTCATAAATCCGTAGATTTAGGATTGTTGCATAAACCTCAAATGCCCGATTTTGAAGGTGTGGTCTTCCTTTTAAAGTGGGAGGCTCTACTCGGTGAGCTTTGGGGGGTGTCTCCCTCATGTCAGGCAGCACCTCCTCCTTTAGTAACTTTGTAGGACCAGCCACAGACTTGCTCCTTGACATAGTTCTGTGAGGACAGTCTGCAGTCTGTTACATCAGTGACCTGTTGCACTGCATGCTGTATGTTAGTGACTTAGTAAAGCAGAAGGATTACTCTGAACCCAGTGCCACCCCTTCTTCCTAGTGAACACATTACCTTAAACACTCTGTTATTGGAAGGGGTAGAAAGGGTTGATGTTATTTTTTAAACTGGAAAGTGCTTCATTTTTCTTCTCCACCTAAAATGTAACAGCAACCATGTACTTCCTTTAGGAAAAATGCTTGTATTTTTGGTCCCTGAGTGACAGGCACACCGATAAATAGTGATCATGGTGTTCTGTGGAGCGCTTCTTTATCCTAGCCTTTGAATGTTATATAAATGGAGTCATACAGTGTGCATTTTGGAGAGCTGGGATCTAGCTTTTTAAACTCTACCTATGAGATTTGTCCATATTGTGGTGGGTATCTGCAGCTCATTCTTTTTCTTTTTACTACTTTTGTAATAGAAAGTAATGGAATAGCATTCCATTCACTGACTTTGTCACAATTTTGATTTACATCTGATTTTCCAAATTTGTTAAGTGATCATAGTGCCAAGCCCCCTCCCAGCCAAGGCTTGTATCCAGATCCATAACTGCCATGCTGCTGTTTTAAAGAAGCCTGATTGCTTGGGTGGGGGCAGAGGTGTTGATGAAACAGACAAGTGAACAAAGAGAGGTTCTTGTTGGCGATTCAGACAGTGCAACGTGTGAGGCAGGACAGTAGCCAAGCTCAGGTGCAAGCTTGCTGGATCATCATTGTCTAAAGCAGGTTTGGCCCACGGTAGGTTCTCCAAAAATAGGCATTGAATGCAAAGACTGAATCAACATGCCTTTCTGGGATTAGATGTCAGTTTATTAAGAAGATAATATCCTGGCTGAGGAGGAGAATTGCTGAGGGTTGGTGCAGCTCTGGGCCGAGTTGACTGCAAACTGAAGTTAGCACTTCCCAAGAGCAGAGCAATTCTGCAAAGGATAGTTGTTGCCCTAATGGGCTTTTAGTGGTACTGTGTTCTTTAAGGATCAGAAAGAAGTTACCCAGTTAAATAGTTAAAAAGTGTAAAATTGTAAAAGCATAATGAGAGGAGAAAAATATTTCAGATACTACCTTCATTTTCCTACTTGGATAGAGATATATATAAGTACACTGTGCTTACGCGCACACACACACCGATACATATATACAGAATCAAAAACCAGTCTTTCCTGGTAACAGGTTGGTACTGTATTTTGTGGTATGAAGAGAGAATTCAAATACCTTTCACTTCGGGGGCAGGGGTCCATATTGTTGATGGGTAACTCTTGAAGCTCAACCATCAAAGCCCAGGCTGATCCAGAAAGATCTCTCACAATTTAGGAAGTGGTCATTATTGATCCCTGTTTACTAAACAGTATCTACTGATGGAGGTAGAAACCGACAATAAACATTTATATCAGAGACTTTTATTTAAAAGTCAAACAACAAATATTCTCTTCCCCTTCCCCCCAAGTCTTGCTTTGAGTGCATGTTTGGTTTTAAATTCTAGTCAGCTTCATGTTGAGTAAATGTACTGCAGAAAATTAACTGAGCTGCGTATTTCAATGATCTTGGTATTTCAGAGATGCTGCCTATGGGAGCTGCAATTTCTTCATTACCCTTCTGGACTGTTTTCACGCGGTGAAGAAGGTAGGTGACTGTGGAGACCCCCACCATTGTGCTGGAGAACGGAGCACCGCCCGGGCAAGACAGGTCTTCCCCCCAAAAGCCTCCACCCACTTCCCCACTGACATGAGAAGGGCCTCCACTGGGGAAGTTTGTTCTGAATCTGAGAGTGTCTCTGCACGAGTGGAGAAGCCGCTTGAGCAACAGTGGACAATCAGACAGTTAGGTAATTGAGTTCTAAATCCAGACTTTGAGTGTGTTGTGACTTCAGGGAAAAACAGAATGGCAATAGATTTACTGATTCCCAAGTTCTCTTGAATTATGTGTTTGTATAAGATACATAAATAGGATTCCCACCAATCCTATTTACCTGTTTATAACATAGTGGCGTACACTTGCTTTTGAGTCTTCAAGCAGTCAATTTCCAATTCACAGGATCTGAGTAGCCAATAGTTTGTATACTAATAGCCCATTAGTTAACATATAAAACCAACTAGGTCACTACTAAAAAGCTACTTTAAAGTAGCGCCTGTGTTTCTCTGGCACCAGGGGATTCCCTGCATATTACATTCCAGAAGAACAGGATCCCTTGGAGTTTGAGGCACAGCGGACCCCGGTGGTAAGCCTCACTCCCTTGGATAGTATCTCTTGGATGTCAGGACAGCACAAGCAACTAGAACTTTAAGTCAGTAGCCTATGGATCAGTAAGCTTTCAGTGACCTCTTGAGTGTTTATGGGACTTGTATTTTCAGAGGCAAAAGGAACCCAGCTTTACTTTCTTGTATGCTGAAACATGGTAGCTTTTGAGAATTTTGACAGAAATGTGGATTAAGATGAGAGGACTAATTAGTATATAAAATCAGAGGTTAATTAGTATACCTTTTAATTCTTTTGGGGTTGAGTCCAGCAACTCTGTGACGGGTGCAGGTGACTGAGGCAGCTCTCCCAGGCATGTTTCAACAGATGATGGGCTCTGTCCATCATCCGAGGAGGCTTAGCAGGTCTACATGACCCCTCCTGACTGAGGTACAGCCCATCAGATGGACCCCGGGAAGCTGCTAATGTTGGCATGTGCACGGTCAGGACCCTGGGCCAACCTTTTCTCAGCTCCCACCACCTTTCAAAAAAGAGCAAAACAACTTGGAAGATCTGGAAAATGGTCTGTAACAGTGTATAGCTGTCTGTTGTTAATTCTTGCCTTGGTTTTTTTAAATATGTTTTTTTTTTATTTTTAGAGAGAGGGGAAGGGAGAAGGATAGAGAGCTAGAACTTTGATAAGAGAGAAATTTCATGGATCAGCTGCCTCCTGCATGCCCCCTACTGGGGATTGAACCCAAACCTGGGAGTCCAATGGGTGACTTTGTTTCTAGGTCATTGCTTAACCATTGAGCCACACTGGCTGTGCTTAGTTTTTGTTTGTTTGCTTGTTTTTGTTTTTAACCAGATCTAATTAGCAACTATAAGTCAAAGATTGCACTTTTCACACTATTTAATTTTATTGAAGTCAACAGCTTCTGATTTTCAATTTAAGCATTTGTTTGTGACTGGTTTAGAATATTGTGTGCCTGAAACATTTATAAATGCTACTAGTGCTACTTCTAATGGGATCTCCTTATGAAATTCAAAGAAGAATAGAAATCTCCTATAAACTGCATTTTATTGCATCATTCTGTTAGGAACATCTCTAGTCCAAATATCATGACACGTATTGAGTATTTTGAATTCAAGGAAATAAAATTCATCATGGATTTGGTCTTAGAGCTAGCATTTAAATAACTACACTTCATAAAATGAGGCCTTTTTGCTTGGTATTGTAGCTTTTATATTTTTCATTTATATTTCAGTACTTTAATTTTTGAAAACTGTCAAGTCACCCATGTTTTTTGCTGTTTTCCATTTTTTTAAATTACATTTATTGGTGTGACATTAGTTAACAAGATCACCTTGTTGATCAAGAATTCTAGCTTACATACTGTCTGCCTCAGAAAAGACTTCTCTGAGGCGGACAGCTCAGCCTTGCCTCAGGGTATAGATCCTTTGCTCATTTCACTTAGCATGCTCTGCCCACTGCAACCCAGAATGGAAAACTTATGTGTTTGTTTTTTATTGAAAGACATTTTGAATTTTAGTGTTTGATCTCTGGGTTATAGAGGAAATATTAATCTCTTTACCCAGTGGTCGGCAAACCGCGGCTCGTGAGCCGATGTTTGCCGCTCTATTGACTAATGAGTTTGCCGACCCCTGTGTAAGGCATTACCCTTACCCATAAGTTTTGACTTCAGGTTAAAGATATTAGTACATTATTAATATGTTTTTTATGTGTTTTTCCCTAAGGTAGGGGTTGGCAAACTCATTAGTCAACAGACCCGCAACCTACGGCTCGCAAGCAGCATATAGCTTGAGGGTCGCAGTTTGCCGACCACTGTCTTAACCTAAGAGGAATTTGAAAGTGAAAATATTTTTGAAGTGTGTGGGATTAGTTTGTGATAAACTAACCTTTCTTTCCTCTATTATTGTTTGGGGGCCATTGAATTCGTGCATTATATTTGAAGCCTGAGTCATGTAGATCTAATAAGAGGGATTACTTTGAAGAATTAATTTTTTTAGTTCTGCACAGATAGGATCATTGTGAAGGAAGATAAAATATCAAATATCGTTAAAGTAAATATTGATGTACTAGTAACCACCCTGTTTCCCTGAAAATAAGAGTGTCTTATAATAATTTTTTCTCCCAAAGTTGCGGTAGTTCTTATTTTCAGAGGATGTCTTATTTTCGGGGAAACACGATAGTTAGAACTAGTTGGGAGCCTTTATAAGACATATTCCACCTCTTTAGAAAACTATTCAGTGGAACATAATCTGAATCTGATAATGGTTTTGGGAGGGTGCCTCCTGATATTAGGAAATTGGATTAGAAATCATTTTTTATTTAAATCTTTGTTCTTTAAAGCTTTCCTTTGTATTTTAGGCAATGCAGTATGGCTTCTTTAATTTCAACTCATTCAAACTTGACGAATATGAACACTATGAAGTAAGTTTTCAAGTTCATTGATTTTAATTCTGTTACTCATGTTTTCCTTACCGAAGTATCACTGTTTTTAAAAACACTGAACAATGGGGGGGGGGGGGCGGGTGTAGAGTATGAAAGAGTCCCTCGTGATCCTCGTATGCAGCCCAGTTCCTCGTGGGCGTCTGCCCTCGTTGTCTCCCTCCTTCCAGAGGGAAGGCCGTGCTGCACGCTGTTTCCTTAGGTTCAGTTTAAACATCTTTAGTAATGATGTCTTTCATCTGTGCCTAAATGAGACCATGTCTGTAAAACTCTTAGCACAGACTCTGATGAGATGAATAGTGATGATGCATCTAACTAACCTCTGGAGAATATATTTTATCATTACCATTTTCATGAAGTCAGGACACTTCTTGTGAATTTCACAAAGTAAACACATATGTCTTAAATAAAAAAGGGAAGATTTATTGATTTTCATATGTAAAAAGGCCAGGAGCAAGTGTACCATCACGCATGACCAGATTCAAGTACTCACTTTCTCACCAGAAACTGTGCAGAAGGAGGTGCTGTGTCCCAGGCCAGCCCTTAGCAGTGGTAATGATAGTCACCAGCCACTGTGACTCTCCCGATTGCCAAACTCACCCGAATAGAGCATCCAGGCTCCAGCAGGAGATCCTCTCCCTGGCCTGGCTTAGATCATATCCCTAGCTCTCAACCAGGCATGTTCCCAGCAAGGGTAGATGGGGGAGCATACTCACTCCCCCAGAAGCTGGAGTGCTGGGCCAACCCTATCAACCACACAGACCAAAAAGAGTCCAGGCGGGCAAAACCACAGGTGTCCTCCTCACTTTAATGCAGTGTGTTTCTTTTAAAGAAAAGTAACTTGATTCTACTGTTTATCCCACCTGGTAATTCAGGGCGCCCTGTTTCAAGGTTGCAGAAGTCCTAGGGAAATAGGCTGGAAGAGGATAATGAGTAAGATGCTAAAGGTCCTTTTCAGCCAAGAATGCTGTGGGGTCTTATCTTCTTATCTTATTACTAAGGCGACTGGGCTGATCAGGGGAAGGCACTACCCCCATCACCCCGCTGCTGCTGCCACTGCTAGCCATGGCGGCTGCGAGGCCTGAGCTTCAGGCTTCGCAGCCGCTGGCGCATATGGCTGCCTGAGCCCATGGCTGCCGTGAGTCCCGGGCCTTGCAGCTGCTGTGGCTTTGTCATGATGGACATCTGAAAGATGTCTGCCCTAATTAGCATATTACCCTTTTATTAATAGAGATAGTTATCTGGAGCAGACATTGTCACTGATAATCAGTGACTTCAGACAGCATTTTATGCAGCAATATCTTGAATCCTCACATAACTATTCTTTAACCATTAATTTCTAATTATTTTAAGCTCTTAGGTATAACAACTGTTTTATTGATGAGTAGGGTTAGTAGTTATGATCAGTCATTACAGAAATATACCCAAAATGTAAAAGCAAAATGTGCGATTCCTTAGGGCACACCCTGTCTTTATTCTCTGTTAGAGCAATACATTTCCAAAGTACAATATATATTTCATTACCACATTACACTATTGAAGGCAAATTAATTATTACACTCTTCTGGTGCTTGTCCTTATAAAATTAAACAGTTAAAATATCTTTCCTAGGTAAGCAGAACTCCTAAACCAGCACGCGGTGTTCTTGCTGTGCAGCACAGCGGTACCACCCTGTGCCCCTCGGGAGTGACCCGGCACTCGTTGGCTTCTCTTGCTAATGCAGAAATACCCGTGCTGGAGGAGCAAGGTCACCAGTGTGTTTACTTTCAGTGAAATTGCTTTGAGACATGGGGACTATTCCGGAGCTCACAGACTGGCTTTGTTCAGTCTCCACAGTGTATTTAGAAATGTTGGGTTAGTGTTTTGTTGATTCCTTGATCCTTGATCCCTCTCTTCCTCCTCCCCTCTTTTCACCTATGATTTAATAAATTCTAACTACAGGTTTCTTGTTAAAAACTTGCGGTTTCTGTTTTCACTTGAAAATCAGAATACCTGGCAACACTTTTCTCGTTCCCATTTAGACCTATTAGCATGAATCATAGGCTCACTGATTCTTCTCCGTGATAATTAAGTAACTTGGTTTTAGGTTATGGGCCTGGCCTGTGATGTCCAAGCAGTCAGTCTATTTCTTACTAAGTCTTAGGTACACATATGCACAACCAGCAAAGCTAACTGACCTTATTTTTATCATTAGTTTTCTTCTGTACTCTCAAGGGTCTCCTACTTCTTGCTCAAGTCCTTGTGTAACCATTTCTATTGTTGTTAAATTTGAATTCTGTTTATCTTATAATAAAAATTCTGTTTATCTTTTCTGTTATGTAAAGGACTTCATAACAGGAGTAAAGTGTTTTAAATTTCAGTTGTCTTTTTTTTATTAGACATCTATAATGATCTTAGTATACTTATAATTTCAAATTTCCTAATGGTTTAGTAAAAAATTTTCAGCAGCCTTCGTATTAAATAGCTAGCAACATGATGCAAAGACATATTTCTACAAATAAAAAGTAAATACCAGAAGTCCCAGAGCCTGAATAGCTACTTTTTTCTCATTTGCTCAATGAGTCAAGATTGCTCATATTGGAAGCCCAGTAGTCATTTAGGAAAATGGATGTTTCCAGATCACTCCTAATAGAAAAGTTTACTTTTATATTAATTAGTAGCAACTATATGAGAATTTACTTGGATAAGATAACTGAAGTACTCAGGTATATTTTAGATAGCAGCAGTCAGTAATTTTCTGAAAGCTGACTACCCAAGCAAAGAAACACTTAAAAGAATGATTAGGAACAGAAGAAGTCAACTGACTCTTCCCTGGAATATTCAGAGAAGGCCCAAATTTAGTGTCCTGCTTCATCATTTATAAACAGTGTTTCTGGTAAAGCAAATGGGTCTGAAGTTCAACAGGCACTCAATATTGAGAAGGAGTGTGGAGAGAAGATTGAGTCTAAAAATGAATCTCTTTGCAGAAAGCAGAAAATGGAGATTTAAATTGGATAATACCAGGCCGATTTATTGCCTTCTGTGGACCTCATTCAAGATCCAGACTTGAAAGTGGTATGCAAAAATATGGGACCCGGGTAGCTTTCTTATTAAAAGTATCCTTTTCTTTTCTTTTTCTTTTTTTTTTTTTTTTTTTTTTTTAGAGGTCTAAGAATTCAACTAAGGTTGTTGACCATTTCAAAACATTATTCTGCCTGGATTTAACTTTATTTTTTTACACTTATACTCAAAGTAGAGGCCTGCTGCATGATTTTATGCATGAGGGTAGGGAGGGGAAGGGCTGTCCCTCAGCCCAGCCTGCACCCTCTTGAAATCCAGAACATCCCTCTCACAATTTGGGACTGCTGGCTCCTTACTGCTCACCTGCCTGCCTGCCTGCCTGATTACCCCTAACTGCTCACCTGCCTGTCTGCCTGATTGCCTCTAACTGCCTCTGCCTCAGCCATGCTGCAGTGGATTTGTCCAGAAGGACTTCTGGCTATCTTGTCTAATTAGCATTTTATGCTTTTATTATTATAGATAGGTATTCAATGCCCAGTCTAGACATTGTTTCCACACAATTACAGGTGAAATTGTTATCATTGTTTTCTTTATGCATTTTACAACGTTTGATAATTTCTTTATGTAGGTTACTACCAACATGCTCCTGAGTCTTACATTGCCTATTTTAAGAATCACAACGTTACTACCATTATCCGTCTGAATAAAAGGATGTATAATGCCAAACAGTTTACAAATGCTGGTTTCGATCACTATGATCTTTTCTTTGCGGATGGCAGCATCCCTACTGATGCGATCGTCAAAGAATTTCTGGATATTTGTGAAAGTGCCGAGGGTGCCATTGCAGTACATTGTAAAGGTATGTCTGTAGGGTTGGTTAAGAGGAGTGGGCATGTATGTATAGACGTGTGAATAAATCTGTGTATATACCATGGTTATTTAGATGATATGCTAGGACACATGAAGCTGCTTACAGAAGGCATTTTTTATTTTAACTTGCTTGTTTTTAGATTTTTTTATTTTATTTTATTTTTTATTTCACAAGGAGGAGGGAGAGGAAAAAGATAAAAACATTGATGATAGAAAAACATCAATTATGCCCCCTACTGCGGGCCGAGCCCACAGCCCGGGCATGTGCCCTGGCATGAAGTGGAGCCCACCAACTTTTAGTGTCTGGGAGAGTGCTCAAACAGCTGAATCACATTGGATGGGCATAAATGCTTTTTTCTTAAACCCACATTATTGTGGTTTTATTGACATAAAAAAACTCTACATATAAAGACTGCTTTAAAACCCTAATTTTATATGAAAAGTATAGCAAGTTAAATTGTGTTCATAGGTAACCCTACAAAGGCTCATCACATGGAAATGTATTCATTTATTCATCACAGATCTGCTCCGTGCCTGCTGTTCGGTCAGCTCTAGGGTATGTCAATGAGCAGAGCAGACAGATTGTCTGAAGAAATAATCACCGAAAGCTTCCCAAATTTGAAGAAAGTCACAAATGTAAACACCAAAGAAACTCAGGGAGCCCCAAGCAGGATAAACTCTGAGACCCACACCCAGATGCATTATTATCAATCTAAAGTCAGAGGCAAAGAGAATCTTGGAAATAGTAAAACAGAATCAACTTATCACATTCAGGGGACTCCAGTAAGATGTCAATAGATTTCTCATCAGAAGGTTTATCTATAGGGTGTCCCAAAAAATGTATATGCCCTTTGAATGATTATAAGGTCAGTTTTTATTAACATAACAGTTCATTTTCAACATTTAAAAGAAGCTACAGAATGAATAATATTTTTGTCAACCCCTGTTTTCAAACAGATGACTATTCTGGTCCAGACACTGCTAATAATACAAAGCAATGGAATCATAAACATCAAGAATCATTTTGTTCAGTATTTGTGTGCCCTTAATTCATCAACTGATTTGGTTTTGTAACATAAACTTTATATTTTATACATCACCATAAAAAAGCCTAGTGAATATTTTTTCTTTGTTCAAAGCTTAGTCTGGCCTCACCTATTATTTCAAACCAGTTAAACCTAAAAAGGAATAAAAATGAAGTGAGTTACCAGCTGTTAAAGTGTGCATACATTTTGGGGGGACATAGGCTATACACACTGAATAATTTATAAAGGAAGTGTTTGTATTTCAACTGTGTTTTCCATCTTCCAATAGCACTTTAGGATGAAATTCCTTTGTTCAGAGCTTACCTGGGTGAAAAAAAACAACAGCTGAGCTCAGCTGTTAAAGTGTGTGTACATATTTTTACCACTTGCAAAGTGGTGAAAGGAAAAAAGAGTCAACCACAAATCCTGCATCTGGCTGAACCTTTTCTTAAAAATGGGTGAAATTAAGACATTCTCAGATAATTAAAAGGTGAGGGAGTTTGCTACCACTGGACTTGCCATGCAAAGAAAGCTAAAGATTGAACAGAAGGACACTAGTTAGTCACTAGAAGCTATCTGAGAAGTACAGATCTCTGATTTTAGTAAATACATTGGACACTTATAAAGGCTGTTACTACTGTTACTTAAGCTATAGACTCTCTAATCAAAAGATGAGATTGGAAGAATGGCTTAAAAAAATAAAAGAGAGTCATTTCAGATCCAAAGACACAAATAGATTGAAAGTGAAAGGATGGGCAAAGGTACTTCATATAAATAGTAACCAAAAGAGAGCAAAGGCGATTATACTGATATCACACAAAATAGACTTTAATGAAAGGTTATGATTCAAAAGGGGGCATTATCCTATCTAATAAAAGAGTAATAAACAAATTGACCATCTCCAACCCACAAAGATGGCCGCCCCCATGTGGTCAAAGATGGCTGCTCCCATGTGGATGCAAGATGGTCACCACAAGATGGTTGGCAGGGGAGGACAGTTGGAGGGACCAGGCCTGCATGGGAGGGCAGTTAGAGGCAATCGGGCCAGCATGGGAGAGGTTAGGGGCAGACAGGCTGGTGAGCAGTTGGGAGCCAGCAGTCCCAGATATGAGAGGGAGATCCGACTGCCGGTTTAGGCCCGATCCCTGTAAACTGGCAGTAGGACATCCTTCTAGGGGTCCCAGATTGAAGAGGGTGCAGGCCAGGCTGAGGGACATCCCCCTCCCCGTGCACAAATTTTGTGCACTGGGCCACTGGTATATTAATAAAGATTCAATATAGTAAGGAGGTGTAACACTTATAAACATTTTACATGTCTAATAGACCTTCAAAATATGGGAAAGAAAATTAGACAGAATTGAAGGGGAAAATAAACAGTTGTCCAAAAATAATTGGAAATTTTAATATCCCACTTTCAATAATGGGTAGAAAAACCAGACAGAAGTTTAAAAATGCAGGACTTGACCACCACAATAAACCAGCTACATCTCAGAGCATACGGTGCACCCTGCTCACCAATGGTATGTGCTGTTGTTTCAAGTGCATGACAGACATTTATGATGACTGATCACATTTTTATTTCAAACACATATTTTTTATTGATTTCAGAGAGGATGGGAGAGGGAGAGAGAGATAAAACATCAATGAGAGAGAATCAGTGATTGGCTGCCTCTTCCACACCCCCTATTGGGGATCAAGCCTGTAATCCAGGCATGTGCCCTTGACCTGAATCGAACCTGGGACCCTTCCATCCACAGGTTGATGCTCTATCCACTGAGCCAAACCAGCTAGGGCAATAATAGCTTGTTAAATGTACTTTTGAAATGTTCAGACCAAAATAATCACTACCACATGAGTAATACATCTCTTTTTCCCTTAGCTGTGTAGAAGCTTTGGTGGGTTTTCCTCCCTTTGGCTTTGGAAAGTTATTCTTTTCTCCTTTTTTAATTAAGTTTATTAGGGTGACATTGGTTAATATGATCATAGAGGTTTCAGGTTTGGGTTCCTATGTTACAAGATTGTGTACTGCACTGTGTGCCCATCATCCAAAGTCAAATGAGGAGAATGCTGTCTGCTCCATTAGTATTCTGCAGGCCTACACGGGAGGCAGGTCCGCCTCCTTGGCTTGGTGGTGGCCTTGTCCCTGAAGTCGTGGATCATGGTAGTGGCCCTGGGCCTGGGTGGTGGCGGCCGTGCCGACCTCTGTGTCTCTATTTCTGGCTTCTGGTGATTAAATCCATGGGTAATGTCTTGATGGAGTTGCATGTTCAACCACACCATTGGTGTTGTCTTCAGAACTTGTGTGTGTTTTGCAGTATGGACAGGCCTAGAATTTTCAAAATACTTAATTTCTGGTTCCTTTTTTGTTTAAAAAGTTCTTAGATTCATCTCCTTCTGCTCATATTTTACATGTTAGTTTAATTTCTGGTTCCTTTTTGTTTAAAAAGTTCTTAGGTTCATCTCCTTCTGCTCATATTTTACATGTTAATAAGGAGACCCCAGGCTGCACCTTCAACCCTTTGATCACGGAGTATCTCCTTTGCTAAATATGCAAGGTCGCTGCTCACAAGTTTTGCTTTCCACAAAGCCTGCAAGCACAATGCAGCCAGGATTTTGGCCTCTTTCTAAGAAGGATGGCCTTTCTTCTATTTTCCAATAATACAGTCTTCCTTTCCACCTGTATCTGCTCCAGAATCTGTGCTAATAAGCATATTCCTGCTGACAGCTCCTTCAAGGCAGTCTAGGTGTTTTGTGGGGTTTTTTTTGTTTTTTTGTTTTTTGTGTGTGTGTGTGTGTGTGTGTGTGTTTACTTTATATCTTATTTTTTATTTTTTTAAATATATTTTATTGATTTTTTACATAGAGGAAGGGAGAGAGATAGAGAGCTAGAAACGTCGATGAGAAAGAAACATCGACCAGCTGCCTCTTGCACACCACCTACCGGGGATGTGCCCACAACCAACGTACATGCCCTTGACTAGAATCAAACCTGGGACCTTTCAGTCCACAGACGGATGCTCTACCACTGAGCCAAACCGGCTTTGGCAGTCTAGGTGTTTTCTTACAAGAGCCTGTAACTCCTGCAGCCTTTAAATTCCAGAGCCAAAGCCACTTTTTTAAAAAATATATATTTTATTGACTTTTTTACAGAGAGGAAGGGAGAGAGATAGAGAGCCAGAAACATCGATGAGAAAGAGTCATCAATCAGCTGCCTCCTGCACAACCCCACTGGGGATGTGCCCACAACCAAGGTACATGCCCTTGACCGGAATCGAATCCGGGACTTCAGTCCACAGGCCGACTCTCTATCCACTGAGCCAAATGATTTCGGCAAAGCCACTTTTTTTTTTTTTTTTTAAATATATTTTATTGACTTTTTTATAGAGATGAAGAGAGAGGAATAGAGAGTTAGAAACATCGATGAGAGAGAATCATTGATCAGCTGCCTCTTGCACATCCCCTACTGGGGATGTGCCTGCAACCAAGGTACATGCCCTTGACCGGAATCGAACCTGGGACCTTTTAGTCCGCAAGCCGACGCTCTATCCACTGAGCCAAACCGGTTTCGGCGAGCCAAAGCCACTTTTACATTTTTCGTATTGTTATGGTTATGGTACCAAAATTTGTATTAATGATTGTTTTCCAGAGAAACAACCAGTAGGATATGTATGATATATATGAGATCTGTGATAAGGAATTGGCTCACACACAAAGGTGGGCTGGCAGGCTGGAGTCCCAGAGGAGCCAGAGGGCATGAAGTCTGGAGGCGGTCTGCTGGAGAGCCCCTGCTAGCTTGGGGAGGCCAGCCTTTTGTTCTGTTCATACCTTAACTGACTGAATGAGGCCCACCCACATGGAGGGTAATCTACTTACGCCAAAGTCACTATTCTCACCCAAATACACCTGCCAGGTTGACACAAAATTATCATTGCAGGATGAAATAGAGTTTAGGTGAGAGTAAAAGAGAATAGCAGGAATAGAGTTTTAAAAATTTTATGTGAAAATGAGTAGAAAGGTACAGTAGAAACACTGGTGAATGAAGGGGAAAGCTTTGCAAGATTTTAAGCCTGAGCTTTTGGGAATATGATTTTGTCATTAAGAGGAAACTCGGTAGAGTCACTGGACTTCTTGAGCGTCGTCACTCAGACAGTGATTTTTTAAAAAATGTATTTTATTGATTTTTTACAGAGAGGAAGAGAGAAGGGTAGAGAGAGCTAGAAACATCAATGAGAGAGAATCCTCAGTCAGCTGCCTCCTGCACACCCCTACTGGGGATGTGCCCTCAACCAAAGTACATGCCCTTGACTGGAATCGAATCTGGGACCCTTCAGTCCACAGGCCGAAGCTCTATCCACTGAGCCAAACATGTTTCAGCTAGACAGTGATTTTCATTCCTGTCTATGTGTAAAATCATTTGGGGGATTAGAAATCTCTGTCCAGGCGGCATTATATAACAAATCAGCTCTCTGGAGGTGTTTTTAGGCCTCTCCAGGAGATTGCAGTGTGCATCCGAACTTGAGGACCACTGTTTAGGGAGGCAGGCCCACCCCTCGCAACATAATGCTGGAGTTCAGGAGACCAGGTCTGATCGGCTTGTTTCCCGTCCTAGCTGGCCTTGGACGAACGGGCACCCTGATAGCCTGCTACATCATGAAGCATTACAGGATGACAGCGGCCGAGGCCATCGCCTGGATCCGAATCTGCAGGCCTGGCTCCGTGATTGGGCCACAGCAACAGTTCTTGATGACGTAAGTAGTTGGAAAGCTCTGGTGATGCCTAGGGAACGCATGGGTCTGGATGCTGATTGGAAGTAGACTTCTTAGTCTCCTTAAGGACAAGTGGTCTTGAAGGAGGAAGTTGTTCATTTGTCACTTTCTCGAAAGGTGTATTTTGATGCTATTTAAATGCTCTGACAGGAAACAGTCAAGCCTTTGGTTGGAAGGAGACCATTTCCGTCGAAAGTTAAGGGGTCAGGAGAATAGCAGACACAAAGCCGCTGTCTCAAAGCTCCTCGTGGCTGTGGATGACTTTTCACTCCATGGGGCCGAGAAACACACCAAGCAAAAACCCGAACTGGTAATCGAACCATCCTCATCACTCTGTTGGTATTGCTTTAAATGCTGGTGAGAACCTTTTAGGGCACGGAGGAAATTGCAGATCAAAGTAATAAAGCACATTTTGAGGGATTATTGTCACACATTTTTTATACTTAGTGTCCTCTCTAGGAAATTTTTGCTCAAAATAGTTAGAACAAGATTATGTGTCCATGACACTGGAGTTCTCACACACTGGGCACTGGTGGGAGGGGATGTGAAGGAAGCGCTGTAGGTGACCCTAGCAACCCCCTTCCCGACACCTTGCCCATTTGTGACAGCTGACCTAGGGGACGGTCGTTCTCAAGTGGGGGACTTTAGAGAACCAAGAGTTTAGGGGTAGCTGCGCTGAATTAAGTGATGGTAAGTAGATGGTGAAATTTAAAAAGTGTGTTTTCAATATTGAAAGCCCATTATGCTCTTCACTGTCAGTGTTTTATAGCAGGAGCAATGTTAGCTTCTGTGCCTGTGGACGTGAAAGTTGGGTGTCGTGCAGCGTGACCTGTAGCTTTATTTCCAAAGCAGCAGCTATTGTAGAGTTCAGCCGGAAGCTGCCGTGCATGCCTCAGGGATAAGCGTAGCTGCTCTGCTTTGCTGCGTGAGCCAGTGCAGCCTGGGTAGTTGGCTCAGTGTGTTTTTACTTGTACAGTACAGCGATGACGACGAAAGCTACAGCGTGACGCAAGGAGATAGACTCCGGGCCCTGAAAAGCAGGAGGCAGCCAAAAAAGAGCGCTGTGCCCCTCACGTGAGTCCGGGTTCCTTGGGGGGGGGGGGGGGGGTGATGTTCTTGCGTGTGCGTCTAAGGCCCTTCATGAGCTTTTTTTTTTTTTTTAATATATATATATATATATATATATATATATATATATATATATATATATATATATATTTCCTCCATAGTTGCATGTCCCTTGGGCCACTTTGACATGATTCTAACTTATTTTAATCTAGTTATTTTAAATAGCTACGAAGCTCCAGGCTGTCCTCTGTTTATCTTCGTCTCCATCCTAACCATCTAGGCCATATATAGGAAAGCATTTAGAAATGCTTTTCCTCTGGAATAATCTCTGGACATCCTCAGAGGTGTCACACCAGGTATAAGCAACAGAACAATAGATTTGTCCATAATTACTAAAAATGGTGAATATCTTTAGACTCACTATGTTCCAGGCAATCTCTTTTAATATGGTAGAATTGAATCGGTGGTGACATGATGGCTTAATGTCATCATATTACTTTAGGGCAACAATAGATTAAATTATATGTTTTATTTAACTTTTTTGTGTGAGGAATTATATTCAAGTTTCAGAAGGTTTAGCAAGGGAATAGGAAGTATTAAGAGTCAGTGAATGTGTGTTTGTCCACTTGTTGCTTGTGTAACTGGTAGTTAGGATAAATTTCACAGAGCATCCAGTATGGTTTTAAAAAAAAGTAGAATAAAAACTTAGCATCATACTTTTTTCCTAGGATATTCTCTCTCTTTTTTTTTTTTTAATCCTTTACTGAAGATAGCTTTATTTATTGAATTGAGAGAGAGAGAAAGGAAAGGAGGGAGGTGAGAGAGAGAGAGAGAGGTCAATGTGAGGAACATAGTTGGTGGCCTCCTGTGTGCATCCGGACCAGGAATTGAACCCACAACTGTTTGGTGTACAAGGAGATGCACTGGCCAGGGATGTGGGTATTCTTCAGTAGATATCCCACCTGTGACGCTGGATTTCTCCCTCCGATGACCTCTCATCGTATGGGGCACCCAGTTTCCAGCCCTCTCCCCCTATTCTGTGGTGGACATAGGCCAGTTACTCAATAAGCATCATGTAATGTGGTGCACAAGAAGCTAACGACATAGTAAATGTTCATGGCAGGGAAGAGCAAGCCTGTTTTTCATTAAAAATGGTTCTTTCGCCCTCACTGGTTTTACTCAGTGGATAGAGTGTTGGCCTTCGGACTGAAAGGTCCCAGGTTCGATTCCAGTCAAAGGCATGTACCGTGGCTGCGGGCACATCCCCAGTGGGAGGTGTGCAGGAGGCAGCTGATCAATGTTTCTAACTCTCTATCCCTCTCCCTTTCTCTCTCTAAAAATTCAGTAAAATATATATATTTTTTTTCCCAAAAATGGTTCTTCCCTGGTATCTCCTATTAATCTTCTCAAGTAGAATCGCACCTAAGGCACGTACTGGGGTGGGCCTCTGCTCAGGGCGTCCTTCAAGACCCAAGAGAAGAGTAGAGTTTTCCAATGTAAAATGCTGTGTGAGGGGAGGGCATCGTGTTGACATAGGCCCCATTTAAGCATTATCTTTGCAATGGGGTTTGCATCAACTAGAATGCTTTAATACTGGTACATTTTACGTAATTTTGCCAAGTGCCATTTTTAATTTCATTAAAAGTCTTTATTTAAAGCTTTATGAGTTATTTAGAAACATTATAGTCCCTACAAGTAATTATTCTTAAGCCAATTTTAGACATGATGGAGGCAACAGGCAGGGCCCAACGCAGAGCCTGTCAAATGTCAGTGTGCACGAGTCTCCTGGGGAGTTGGGATCCGCAGGGCGTGCAGCCCACCTACGGTTCCTCATTCCAGCAGGCTTCCAGGCGCCATGCCGTTGTCCGGGGAAGCCCAGGAAAGGGAGATTGCGTGGGCTGCTTTTCACCGGGCCCAGGTTTTTTGTATTGCTTTATTTCTCAACAGCTTATTGCCTTCTCCAGCTGCAATGACAGTTCTGCTTAGTCCGACCTTTTTGTTAAATAGGGCTTTTAAGAAATTTTCTGCCACTGAGCCTGCTTCTTGGTGAAGGTTTCCTAGAGTTCAGCTCACTCTTTTCCAGAATAGTCGAGGCCATACTGTCTCTCGTAGCTGATGGGTTTGTGTAAAATACAACAGTAAATGAAGACTGGCATCCTAAATGTGTCGGACCCAGAAGGTGACATTAGGTGCCATTCCTCTCCCCTTGGTGTTTGAGGTCTGGGGGCGAAAGCTGATGATGCTCAGTGATGGTGAATGACGGAACTGGCCTGGGTGGGCTGGGGGAGCCAGCCTCAAGGTTTTGTTACCCAGTTACATCCCCACCCCTCCTCAAAGCCAATATGGGACCCTGGCCCTTTGCTCTGAAGCACTCTTGGTATAAATTAAAACCAAGTAAAATGGTAAAAGTTATAAATGTTCCTAAAGAAACTAGTTCAGGATCCTCTTTAATTATAACCCAAAAATAATAGAATAGCCCCTGCACACACAGAGATGACGGGCTTGTAGGCCACACTTTCAAAGGAAAAGGCCGAAGCCCCCGTGTGTGCACAGGCCCTGGGATGTTAAGTCAGTGTCAGCATCTTCCCTCCCGGCAACAGCCTGCTCACCCTGTCCTGCTCTTTGAAACCTTCTCTGCTATTAAAATCATCTCCTTTTTGCTCTGATTTGTAGCTCTCTTGGCTCTAGAAAAGGGGATCAATTGGAGATTTTCTTTTCCTGCCAAGTCCTTGTTCTTTTAGAAAGAAAAGTCCCCTGAGAGTTTTCAATAACATTTTAGATTGAGAAACCTTAATTCTATCCCCACCTCCCGACCGCGGGCAAGTTATTTTTCTTTGTATTGGCACTTAAATCCAAATGAAAATACTCATCATAAGGAAAGTTGGTGAGAAGCATGTGATTCTTAAGAGAAATTTATGGTACGTAAAATACCATCCCATTTACCGGTTTCTATTTTATAGTCAATATTCGGGGAAAGTGAAAGTCATTAGAAATTGTAAAATAGTCATTTTCTCAGAAAGCTATGTGATCCTGCCCACCGTGAAGACAGTAGATCATGTAGCCCCATGACCTGGAGGCCATCATCAGGCGTGATGGCAAGTACGTGACTGTCTGTGCTCACGTAGATTTCGTAGATTTGATAACCCCCCGTGCTGCCTATTTCTGCATACTGATCCTTTCTGCTAGTTTGCTGTGTTTAAATGAGATGCTTCCTGAGGAGGGGAAATGTAGCCTACACAGGACTATGCAAATTACAGATCCAATTAGCTTTGAAAGGCCTTAAACGCCCCCTTAGCGGTACAGTGTTGACGGTGAGTTTTTCATCACTGGAAAATAATTCATATGCCAGGAGCTTCGTTAGAGGAACAAGATGTATACTTCGGACACCTGGGTATTCGGGCCATTCTACCTTTACGATAACTGTTAAGTCAGTAACTGGAAGGGAGCATTGGGTTGGTAGGGTTCGGTAGTGCTCCAAAGTCATTTATTACATTCTGTAACTATTAAACCCCTGTAATCTTAACATGCAGCAGGTTTGTTGGTTTTGTTTTTCTTTGCTGGCAGGAGTAAATGAGAGAATAGATTTGGGTTCACACCCACATAGGATGCCTGGGCCTGGCACCTAGCATTCAATGATAAGGTGGCAGACATTGAGGAAGATGTCTGGGCAGTCTTCATCGTTTGTGCCCAATAGTTTGCACAAAGCAAATACTCAATGGAGCCTCTTGTTATTGGTCACAGATGTGTCTAGGAGTTAGCATCCTCCCAACTGTTAGGAGATCTCTTTCTCACTGCAGGACGCCAGGCCAGGGGGTTAAGAAACACCACACTGGAACCCAAGTTGGGTTGCATGAGGAAAACAACAAAGGAAATGTGTACAGTACAGCAGGTCCTCCAATAGCGTCATTTTGTTAACACCGAGAAGATGCTGTAGGAAATTACTGTTGTTAATATCAATTAGTCTACAGTAAAATTGGTTTTGTCATATTATGTTTTGCATAAAGTTGCAGAATCTTCAATGATGTTACGTGAGAACTTACTGTATTAGTTCGTGAGGATAATGGTCTTCATGTCACGTTGTGTGGGTTGCCTATACTTCTGCAATCTTTGTTTTCAGGACATGCACCTCCTGGATGGTACAGAATATGGCTCCATTGAAGTGAGACCAGCCCCACTGCTGTGTGTGCCCCTAACTGGGCCTTCGAGGGGATGGATGTCTGTTCGTTATCAGTGCCAACCTTTTTTTTGTTTGGTTGGTTTTGCCTCCTTTTCCCCTCTGGTTTGGTTCAGTTTTGTGTGTGTGCATATTGTGTTTTTTGAAGAATTTCAACACTATAACAACAACTTTGATTTCTGTATCATACAATTAAATTCACGTGGGGCAGTTATTGAACTAGAGATTGGGCCTACTCTGTTCTTACCAAGTGTCAAGTCAGTTTAATACTGAAGACAGCATTTTGTTGTTGTTGTTGTTGTTAGTCCTTGCTCAATGATATTTTTTTTATTGATTTTTAGAGAGAATGGAAGGGTGTAAGAGAGATAGAGAAAGAGGAATACCAATGTGAGAAAGACAAATCGATTTGTTGCCTCCCGCCCATGCCCCAACCAGGGTTGAGCCTGCAACTGAGGTACATGCCCTTGACTGGGAAACGCTTGACACACTAACCACTGAGCATGCCGGCCAGAGCAAGACAGCCTTTTTCCCCAACATAATATAGCAAAACTCCATCACGCTTTCACATCATCACAGGGTGTCTAAAATTTACACATGGCTTTATTTATTTATTTATTATTTTATTTATTTTGGCTTCTCAGTTTGAACATCTGTTCTTTCCCTTCACCCCTTTTCAGATGTTCCCTAGCTGTGCTGACCTCTGCACTGTGTAGTGTTGTCATCTGGTGGATTGTGTGTGACTACATTCTTCCCATCCTGCTATTCTGTCTCGATGGTTTAAGAGCACAGTAGCCATCGGACCCTTTGACAAATAGCTGCTGTGTAAGTGTCCCACCCATTTCTCTACTGTTCACTGCTGCCCTGTTTCCCATGATGCATGTTTTTGTCATTAGCAGCTCTTCTCGCTTTATTGATTTGCCTTTTTTCAAAGGTTCTTCTTCAAAAACTCCTCAACTCATGGTGAGGTGTCTGGGAGGGAGGCCCCTCACTATTCTTTTTACACAAGGGACATTAAGAACAACACACTTTGATTTTGTTGTTGTTGTTGTTTAATGTTTTCTATTTATTTCAGAGAAAGGGAGAGGGAAAGATAGAAACAACATCCCCAAGGAGAGAGAATCATCAGTAAGCTGCCTCCTGCATGGCCCCTTCCGGGGAGCCTGCACCCCGGGCATGTGTCCTGACTGGGAGTCGAACTGCAATCCTTGGTTCCTGAGTCCATGCTCAGCCATTGGCTTTGTTTTTACGTTGTGCTGACTCTGAACAGATTTCTTGAAGTAGCAATTTAAAAAGACACCAAGCTAGCTTCTTTCCCTCTCAAATATATTTGGTTACTTGGGATGCTTTTCTTTCAATTAATTGTTTGTACAACTTTTCTCTAGTTGTCTAGAGTAAACATTTTTAGTGTACCCTTTCCAGTCTAGCAGAAGTAAGTTTCGCACTGATTTTGTGCTCTTGTAAAGATCTGACTGTGCCACGTCCACAGCCTCTCGCTGCAGGCAGCTGCTTCCCAGCAAGTCTCTGTCTTAAGTCTGCGGAACTCTCTCCTCTCCCTCATTCCCCTGCCTCCCCCTTTCAGTCACGTGCAATGTTCAGATCTGGATGTTGAAAGGAGGGAAGCAAAGAAGACGGGAGTCTTGTCTATGTTTGTGTTTCTGCGTGACCAGCGCTGCTCCCGCCTTGCTCCTGCCTGCCTTCTTTCCCCAAAAGCAACCAAAATGCCTTAGGGTGATATGGACAGACTCTGTGTTCTCTGGACACCTTTAACCCTTAAACCAGAGCCTTGTCAGAGAAGAGGCGTCTTTCCTGCAGAAGAACGGGCACGAGGCTCACCGGGGATCTCCAGCCCAGCCCCAGCGCAGGCCCGGAGCGGCGCCCTGGTGGCTGCCGGGACCGTGCCTCTCACGGCTAGGCTGCCTTCCTTATTCTCTGACATTTTTTCTGTAGCTCATATTCAAGGATTTCTCTTCTTATTCCAACTTGGATCGGGGAGTTTTATTAAGAAATGCAAAAGTTCTGCTTGGACTTTCTCCAAAGTAAAATTCCATGGCAACTACCACCCGTGTTTTATGGTTTCATTGAGTGTCTTCAGATGGTGGAAAAGACTGTGAAACCTAACAGACTTCATGCTTTTCAAAATTAAGGAAAAGCTGCTTAACATGTTTCTATTGTGACATTTTCTTAAAATGTGTCATTAAATACCAACTTGTTGCCGAGGCTGACCCCCTGTTTCCCATATAGATGGCCCTTTCCGATGGTTTTCCAGTGTGAAGCAGTTTTGAATAGATGAGCTCTGGTTGGGAGGAGGCGTTGCTAATAATACTTAGGTGCTTTTGAGTATGTCATTTTCCCAGGTAACTTAAATGGGCTCCATGAGGCTCTCTTCTCTTTACCATCTAAGAAGGTGTAACGCTCGCCATTGCATTAGGACCTCAGCAGAGTATTCATTTAGCCTGATTGATTAATTTGGAATTTACAGAAATCAAAGCGTTCAAAGGTAACTGGGGTAAACAAAAAGAATCTTCGTAGTTGTCTTTGAGGCCATTACTCATGGGCACAGCGGGGGTGCGCCTGGAGCTCTTGAGGCCGAGTACGCCCCGGGTTGCTGTGTCAGACTCTTAGTGGGAAGATGCATGCGGAGTTGCAGGCCCGGCCCATCATTTGGGAAGCTCGTTTGGCATGTGGGTGACAGCCAGAATTGAATGTTCAAAGCACTTTGTGGCTTGATAGTTTTTACTTTACAATATTCCTCAAGTTGCAGATGCTATGTTCAAACTTGGGGAATATTGGGGCTCAGAAGACACCTCGGAGAAGAAAGGGAACTGCAGTGCGGGGCAGAGATGAAAGGCAGGCCTGAGGATTCTGCTGGGGGAGGCGGAAAGGAGAAGGTACATGGGCCTAGTGCTCTGCAGAGTCACGTGATTGGTTTGCCAGGTGGCACGCTTCCTTCTCGCTTACCTTGGCGGTCTGCCAGCTTATCCCCTTGCAAGGTGGTACTTATTCACTATCACAGGTGACATTAAGTGCGGTTGCTGGTTTTTCCCCACTTCGTGGTGCATAATCTACAGATGTAAAAGCTGCTCTATTGTTGATGCAAACAACTGAGGCCCTGAATCTTTATTAGTGTGACTAGTGTATTCTAAATGTCTAGCATGTGCTCTTTCCAAGTTCCACCTCAGTTGGTTATTATTGGTTATTATTATATTAATTCACATTAATTATTTACACTAATTTTATAGATTTAAAATTGGTAGACATTTTATAAAACAAAAAAATTTCCTGTTAGCCTAAAATTTGATTTAGCGGTAATTTCTTGTCTTGAACAGTATTGTTAATTTAAGAAATCAGGTCTTAAGTTTCCGAAGCAGGCAGTTATTGGCCCTTGTTTTTCCTCATATTAATGATCTGACGGTGCGGTAGCTGTCCACTACGGGCTGTAAGTGGCCTCATTTGGGAAGTAGGAGTGGCATTTCAAAGCCAGCGGGAGCCTCGCTGCCTCCTGTAAAGCGGAGGTAAACCGCCTTGTCACGCGGTGAGCAGCCCTGGGCCCAGGCCTGGGCTCAGGAACGGCGGCCAGAGCACCGCTGGTTGGCTTTTGTTGTTTTATTTTTCCTTTGTGAAAAATTCTAGATTCACTTCCTTAACAGACACTACTAAATATCTCCCCCTCCTTCATATAATCAGAAAAAAAAAACTTTAAATAAATCCTTTTTTTTCAGGCATAGAATTCATGTGCCGGGACATTAATCGCACAACTGTGTCTGCGTATGCCAGCACAGTCCACATTTGGGAGGTAAAACTTTATGAGAAGTCCTGAGTCCAGCATTGGCTCATTAGCGAGGATCAGTTTCCCTCACCGAGAAGGTGGGGTGGGGCTGGGGGGCTGTCTCATGAGGCTTTCAGAAACCCTCGGTGCACAGCAGCCCGGACAGACCTGCCCCTCGTGCCCAAACAGCTTGAAGACCATGGGCCCCCAGACTTTCGCTCTGCTCCAGTGCAGCCCCTTGTTTTTTAGGGATGGGAGCAAGCATTTTACTAAATATCGCCGGTTTCATGCTTTGGGTAATACTAAGATTATAGGAATTTACTAATATAATTTGTACTACATTTTAAGGATCTGGTGTGCTTATCAACAACAAGTTAGTAACTCAGGCATAAGAGGTAGGGCCACTAGTTTGTTGGAATGGTTTCTTTTTTAAAAAACATATATGTGTTGTTTTTTTAAATTGACTTTAGAGAGAGAGAGAAAGGGAAGAGAGGGGTAGAAATAATGATGAGAGAGGAACATTGATTGGCTGCCTTCTGCACCCCCCCTCCCCTTCTCAGGGATAGAGCCTGCAACCTGGGCAAGTGCCCTCACCGGGAACTAGCGACCTCTTGGTTCATGGGCCAATGCTCAACCGTGGAACCACACTGGCTGGGCTGGTATGGTTTCTTTTTACTCTTAAGAGCTGAGTTCAAGTCTGTTGTTATTGGCTGTGTTATCTTTATGTTTGCATATGAGATCAGGAAGCTTTTCAAGCCAGTGTTTCTCTTAGAAATCACGTTGAGTACTTTTTCTAAATGTGAAGCATACATTTGAGCATTTCAGTCTCTTGAAGAAAAGGAATGTGTGTAAATGTTTTGATGTTTTCCCTGTGACAGTTGAGTGAGGAATATAAAAATACCCTCCACTTGCAAGTAGGCTGGATCTCAAGGAGTTCTGATTCATGAATTTACCTCGGCATAATTTACTCCCCAGCATCGTTCCTGGAGTTTTCATAGTTTAATTAAATCAAGTATCACAAAATTCAAGCAGTTCCACTTTCTTATTAATGGTACTTGGTGATTCAGTAAGTAGTTGTAATCCAAACAAACTCACATTTTACTTGAACATGGTTTTAAAATTTGAAGTCTTATATGAAATTGGTATTGATTCATGGTTTATTGCCCTTACTCTCAGCTCTGAGGAATGAATATTATCTAGATATTTATATATTCATGTTCTATAGAATTTGGCTTCTTGTTTTCATGACAGGAATTCTGAGGACTTCCTTTTACTTAGGACACAGACATTTGCTTTGCTGATTGATTCTTTGGTGTGAGGATTGTTGAAATACCAGGTCATTCGTTTTCCAAAGACAAAGACTCTTTATCTTTTGTGTAACTAACCTTCGTAAGGAAATGAGGTGCTTCATTTCAAAAGACCTCAATATAAAAATGTGTTTGTGGGAAATCCTACCAATTCTCCATCAGATCGTTTGTATTCAAGTGCAAAAATGCCTTCCTGGGTCAAATATTTGAAAGTTGTTTCAGTGATATAATATTATTTTTTCCAACTGTTTTCAGAGTAATTCTTCAGTCCAGTGTTCAGAGCTGTAAAACATCTGAACCTAACGTTTCTGGCAGTGCAGGCATTGCTAAGAGAGCCACCAGATCTGCTTCAAGGAAAAGCAGTTTTAAAAGGTGAGAAAAGAACCCTACTCTTCCGAAAAGTTCAAACATTGCTTCCCGTTTACCTTTCGGGAGACAGGAATGCAGGCCAAGGTAGAGTCCCTGTGACGGGAAAGTGATCAAATGTGTTTGATGTGTTGGTCATCGAAGGGAATCTGGGCCCTTTTAATGCAGCATTTTGTTTAGTTTCGTTTTTCAAAACCGATGTTCAGCCCTGAAAATGTGGCCTCTGGGTCGTGGAGTGGGCCAGTTGCGCCTGATGTAAGTCCTCAATTTAGAATTCCCAGTTCTCTGCCCGGACTCAGGGGCCCTCGCTGTGCAGACGCCGCGGTGAGCTTGTGCGAATAAGTGTGGCGGTGGACACACGGACTTCCATGGGACTGCAGTCCACAGCCAGGGCTCCTTCTCTCCCTTTGAGCCCAGCATCTTCCCTTCATCCCTGACAGGGAGGGGCTTGTTCTGTGGCCGGTCTGTTATCACTGTTGCCCAGGAGCTCTGTCGCGGCCTGCGGGCAGGCCTTTTGTTCCAAACGAATCTATGAACAGGTCCCCCTGGGAGGAGCAGGCAGCCCACGGCGCCCTCCCCGCTGAGCAGTACTTGTTTTTGATGGAGGATGGTGAAGGAATTAATACATTTGTATAATCTGATTTAGTACAAAATAGTCTGAGCTGAGACTTTTCTTTCCTCAAACAGCGATATGAAAAGAATAGACACGTTTCAGAGCTCATCCGCACCCTCCAGGCGCAGCCGCCGCTGCCCGGAGCTCCTCCCCTGCAGGTGGTGGTGGCCGCCGTCCCCTCAGCAGGCGCTGGGCTTGGTCCCACATTCTGTGCTGTTGAGTTCTTTCTGTTCTTAGAGTTCCGGAGGAAGACCTCCCCTCACGCGCCGCCCACTGCCACGGCTCTCTTGATTGACAGTTTACTGAGTCTCCACAGCACGGGAATTTCCCCACAGACATGTTGAAAGAGCGAATATCTGACAGCTGAAAAGTATGGCTGTGATCACACGCATTTGCCAGCAGAGAAGGCCCCGATGTGCCTCGTGTCCATGCGGGGAGGCCACCTCCCCTCGGTCCTGTGTGCCCGCTCTGCTCCGGCCCGGGGCCAGGCTCTGTGCTCCCTCCTCACCTCCCTCCTGAGCGCTCTGCACCTCCCGCTTCCTGTCAGAGCTGGACACCACCTAAGGTCACTCTTCAGTCCAGTGAGGAGTGGTCCGTTCTCAGTGGCTCCATTAACTCGCTGGAGGGTCTGGAGAAGGCCGCACCCCTGCCCTCCAGTCCCCGGCTGCGCCCCTCGCCCGCTGTGCGTGCTTCCAGCAGCTTACGCTCTTTCTTACGGCAGTCTCTTTTCTTTTTTTAAATTATAACTTTATCCATTTTCTAAGAGAACTGCATATGCAAAAGGGGTTTCTATTCCAGGTTTCATCCTTGGGGACCATCACTTTCTGCTCCACCTGACAAACCTATCGCACGTTCATTGCCGGGGGCCCTGCGCCCAGCCACCTGCTGCGAGGGCTCCCTCGGCCCCGAGACGCGCTCTTCCCCCTTCAGGAGGAGCTGCGTTAGGGCTGCTGCTTTCTGTTTGGCCTACGTCGTCTCGTTTGTGATTCCGGCTTCTGGTCCGTGAGCGTCTCGGGCCTCAGTGACTGTTCACCGCTGGGCTTTCATTTCCATTATTCACATCATCTCCACACGTGCGTCCTTGAGGAAGGCCAGAATGTTCTATCTAAATACTCTTTTGTTTAAATGCTGGTGACCTCCTCCCTCTTAGGACATTAATCTCCCTTTGAAATTCCAGATCCGTTCCCACTGGAGCAGTCCGAGCCCTTTATCCTCAGGGCCGTGCTGCGGGTGTGCAGACTGGTTATTCTGACCTGCCTTTCCGTTAGTTTTCTCTGAAAGCTGCTGTTTAGGTGAAGGTAATAAATGGCGGAAGGAAACCCGGCAGGTAGCGTGAGGATGAATCAGGGCAGTGACTTACGGGCAGCCTGGGGTGGTGTGGCCCCTGACGGCTGCACTGGGCTGAGCTGGGAGCCGCGTGCAGCGCCCGCCTTTCTGGGACTGAAGTCTGGCTCTGAAATAACCGAGTAACACTTCCTTATCTTTCCGTTCTTTCCGCTCTCCCCGCAGCCTGGTTCCTCAGAGGGAAAGAAGGAAAAGGAATGCTTTGCAGCAAATGCCCCTCGTGGCATTATGGTACTCTCATTGCCCGCTGCCTCTGCCCACCCCCCCCTTACTGTGTTTTCATTGTTTTGTTTTCTGTGTTGTTTTCTGCAGAACTGAACCTTTCTCTGCTTTGCCTTCCTCTCCTGTTTGTCTTTATGGTTGATATCGTACTGTCGTCCAAAATATTTGTCATTAAAGAATTATACAAATGTTTACTTTTTAGCATGTTGATATTTTTTATTATGTTGCCTTCCTTGTCTTTACTAACTATCTGTGGGACACTAAAACCTTTGTGGTAAATCCTGTTCTTTCTCCCGTAGTCCCTCCATTTCGAGGACTAAGACAGTGTTGCGTTAAATAAATCCTTTGACCAGAACTGGAGGAAGACTGGGAACAGCACTGCACCAGGACTTAGCACAATTAATTTGGAAACTAAACAAAATTGCAAACGCCTTAGCTGCTTTCCACCTAAGAAGCTTGTTCAGCGAAGAAACCGACCCCTGGAGTGTGGTAGCTGCACAGCTTGGGTACCAGTGGGACGCGAGGACAACCCGGCTCTCCTTTGGCAGACGCGTCCCGCGTGGAACAGCCGCTGTGCACTCAGTCTCAGGTGTAAGCGCCGGAGCCGCGGTGGGAGCGTCCCCGGGACTGGCTGCGGACAGGTCTACGGAGGCCTTTCGCCACTTATTTTCTGTTCGCCCTGCGCCCGAGTGTACAGAGGTGGGCAGGCCTTGCCGAAACGGTACTCTGATCTGATTCTGTCTGGAGTGATCCTCTTCCCTGGAATGCTTGTCATACTGTGTGTGTACTGTTACCTGGTAAGCCCCGAGCCGCTCGGTTCCACCAAAGAGTGCTTATCCTGGAGCCTGGGAAAGGTGTGTGAGGCCGCTGCAAGGACTTCACCCCTGCAGGGCGCCGCCGAGGGAGCTGGCTCCGTTGGGGGACGCTGAGTCGTGCCTGTGGTGATAGTAGGGACTGAAGGACTCCAAGGCTGCCCGCTGTTCAGTTGCCTTGTCATGCCTTCCGGGCATGAAAAACCACGTGTCAGTGTTTCTCCTTAGAAGGGGATCCCAGATACCGGGCTTTAAAACACTCGCTGTTTTATGAGGGTCTTTCTCTGTAGCATATGGACTTCTTGTCACATGATCAGCCAAGGCCCTTCCCACACCCTTTGATTTCACATCTGGATTTCAGTTTGTGCTAAGACACTCACTGTGGCCTTCAGTTAGGGATCAACTCTTTGTAGAGTGCCTTCTCCCCCGCCCCGCAGCAGCACAGCGGAATCTGATGTGAAGCAATCACACACACACACAAACCAGTTTATTTGCTGCTAAAATATAAATACGGTCCAAAATAAGAGAATATTTTTCAAAATATTTAGAGGTGAATGGTTTTAGTTCCTGTTAGCCAATGTCGGCTGCCCTGGTTTGGGGAATGGGGAGATACAGTACTGAAAGGTAGAACGCCTTCCCGTTGGAAGATGAAAGAGGCAGGTCAGGAGGCAGCTCCATTCTGTAAGCTGCCTTTTAAACAAAACTCGGAGGACTGAAGAGTGGGTGGTAGAAACAGAGTGAAGTCTGCGATTGCAGAGGTAACCGGAAGGCCTTCGCGGTGTTTGGCATTTCCTCTCGGTAACGGGGGTGGGCTAGCTTTGAGGGATGTGGAAGATGCCGTTGTTCTGGCCAGACAAGCAGTTCTCCCCCCTGGGCGCTGTGGGCCTCACGCCCGCCGCTCTTGCCCTCTAGGGGACTAGCTCTCAGAAAAACGGAGGCTTTTGCCCCTGAAGTTCACAGACGAGCTCTGGGTGGGAGAGCAGCATCCCACCGCTGCACTGTGCTGGGCGGCGATCCGAGATTTCACAGCGCCCAGCACAGCATTGCCTCCTCAGGGCAGCTCTGCGTCCCTCCACACTTAACGGCCATCCTCCGCTGAACCGTCCAGGCAGCTGTGGAAACCACTTCCTCCTGAGCCCGCCTGGCTGGGCCTCTGGTTACTTCACAGCAGTCAGTGTGCCGTCCCCTCAGAGGAAGCCCTGTGGTGTCTAGGCCAAGAGTGAAACTGGGCGTCAGTGCCAACCACAGTGCTTTTTATTTACTAATTAACTTTTTATGTTGGCTGCTCACATTTCCAGCTCGAATTGCTATTCCCGTGGCTCTTTCTAAAAATCCTTGTGTTTAACAGGCTTGCTCCTGAAATTAGTCTTAGGAAATGAGTGATTTGGGACACAAAGGACCCAGCCCCAGTGTTAAACTTCCAAGGGCCATGTCGAGAAGCCAGGAAGTTTCTGGGTAGGACTGACGGGAAGTTCTTGCTGTGAATCAGAGTGGAGTCTCCAACCCACCCCACGCACCCAGAACCTCCGAGGCCTTTTTGGGGCCCTGGTTCCAGGAGACCTTGTCGCTGTGGAATATGAAACTGCTTGTCAGCTTGAGAGACTCCTTTCACTTAAGAGCCTTAAATAGCTTTGAAAGTACACCCAAAAGTTTTCATTGGAATTGAAAGCAGAAATGAATATTTTTAGGTGCCCTTAAAGCTTTCTGGGGACAAAAGTCTGGGGCAGTCCAAAGGAAGGTGTCTGCCTGCAAAACTGGGCCCCAGCAGTGCAGACAGACTTCTCTTTTGTTCTCAAGGAGAGCTAAATGTGCGGCACCGGAGGCTCACTGCTCCTCTCCTCTCCAGAACCTTCTGTTCAAACTGAGCCCCTCGCCTGTCACCGCCCACTTCCTGCCCCACCCTCCTCCCTCTCCTAGGGGTGACTTCTACCTCCCGTCTGGCCCAGACCGGTTGCAGAGGCGGTGCACACCCTGGTGCACACCCCGTGCTCTGACAAGGCTTCCTGTGGGCGCGGCCCCTGGTTGGCCCTGCGGGCCCAGTCCTCTGCCTGAGTCACTGTGCGCTCCTGTGATGTTTGTTCTAAAAGGAGCTTCGCTGCTTCTCTCCGCGTTTTAAACAGTAATTCTTGTATTTGGGAAGCCGTGCTCATCAAAAACAACCTTAGACAACTCTCATCCCTTAATGGTCACCGCCCCGAAAGCGGCCGGCGGGGCTGGCTGCTGCTCTCCCCCTCAAGGCCGTGTGTCGTCCCCCCCCCCCCCCCCCCCCCGCACGGGGTCATTACCTCCTCCACCGCCTCACAGTGTCAGCAGGTAGCTTCTCTGAGTAGAGTACTGCGGTTTTATAGTAATAATTTGCCTACTTTTATCTAACCTGCACTCGTGTACAGATTATTAAAAGTTTTAAAATGTAACTGATTAATCAGTACTGGGTCAATCATTGTCTTGATTTTTTTAATTAAAAACGTATATTTCTAACCACATTTTATAAAGCTGAGAGAACTGGTTGAATGTTTATTTTCCTGAAGGTATTTTTTAAGATACAGCTTCATAATGGCGTGTGAACTTCGCATATCTATGTAGTTTGATATGTATTGTTGCGTTTGAAATATGTGTATTGTAACTGGTTTTATACAAAATATTGAAGAGTGGAAATTGTATAATTATAATCGTGCAATTAAAAATATTAATCAAATAATCTTTAGATTGATTGTTCGCTTACTGACATTCTGAGTTGGAGTATTGTGACAGTCAGTCTTCGTCCACCGGGGCTGTGACAGCAAAACACTACACACACACCCCCCCCCCACACACACATATACACACACACACATACACACACACACACATATACACACACATATACACACATACATATACACACACATACACACACATACACACACATACACACACACACATACATACACATACACACACACACACACACACCCGGGCTGCTGGCTCGGGGCCGGAGGCTTCCCGGTGCCTCTCTGCGTGGCCCTTTCTCCGTGCGCTCGTCCCTGCGGTCCTGTCTGTCTGGCTTGCTCTCTCCCGACGCCATCCTAATGGCCTCCTTTTAACATCACCACCTTTTAAAGGCCTTGTCTCCAAACAGCCCTGTCCTGAGGTATGGGGGTTAGGGCTTCCGTTTAGGAACGGGGGATATTGTCCAGCCCATCGCACCTTCCCCAGAGAAGACAGTGGGCACGTGAGGGGTCACTCGGCACACACCCTCACCCACTCCGAGGACGCAAAGGTTCCCCTTCCCAGAACGAAGACGCATCCATCAGACGACGGCGGGTGTTACAGGCCAGAGGCGGGAGCCCCTTCATCATCTGCAGGCTCGGAACCTGAGTGCTGGGCGAGAAGCAGGGCTGGTGCCTGAGCACCGCACACCCTGTGCCATTCGGTGCGGACGGCCTCGTGCCCAGCTGCCTGAGCTTGTCCTGAAGGAGGTCTGTCCAGCTCCCTGAGGACAGGACTTTGCTTCATGCTGGGTTGTGAGTTTTCAGAGCACAAACCAAAGGGACCTGCCTTCTCACCGTCACGCAGACGCCTGCCACCAGAGGGATTTGCGGGCTCTGCCCTCCCTTGAGAGCTATAATGCCCACCCGCTCCCTCGTGACTGACCTGAGGCCAGTGCTGGGCGTGTGCCATCCGGTGACTGACCAGCTTGGTTAGCTGGCGTGGGCCCAGCAGCTCCAAGTCCGAGGCGGTGGCAGGAAGGGGCAGGTGTGGCGGCAAGGCCCCTGCCTGGCTGTGGATGGAACCGCAAGGTGCGGTTTCTCCTCGGAGCAGCCCCCTGGGCTGTGCAAGCCTCTGAGAGCCTGGCCTGCAGGAACTTGCTTCCCTGTGCTGTCAGCCACACTGCCCAGAGCATGGACAACCTGCCAAAACCCCTCTTACTCCACTCACATGAGATGGGGAATAAGAGTTCCTATTTTAACAGTAAGTACGAGTATTAAATGAGATAACACATGCAACACACTCCAAACAGTGCCTGGCACATAGCTTCCAATAAATTTCTTATATTTAAGATCATTTTCTCCAGGTGACCAGGTAAAGGCTGACTTTAATAGCAGTCCTTCGGTACCTGATATTTTTGGTACCTGCAGTTTAATTTGTGGATTAAAAGAGGTCAAACTATTGACTCTTGCTCTATCAGGTTTGGCTCAGTGGTTAGAGCATTGGCCTGTGCACCAGAGAGTCCTGGGTTTGATTCCAGGTCAAGGGCATGGACCTAGGTTGCAGGCTCCTCCCCAGCTGGGGCCCAGGTCTGGGCTCGTACAGGAAGGCAAGCAATTAATGTGTTTCTCATCAATAGTCTCGTCTTTTTCCTTCTCTCTTCCGTTCTCTCTAAAAATCAATGGAAAAATATCCTCAGGTGAGGATTGAAAAAAAAACAGAATACAAAACAGAACAACAAACTTGACTCTTGCAGGGAGAAACTCCCGCATGAAGGTAAGTAGAGGCAGCCCAGAGGCTGGGCAGCGGCATGCCCGAGTACCAAGGCCCCCTCCCGAGCCTCGCACCTACTGAGTGCCTGGACGGGAAGAGGCAGCGGTGTGCATCCCACAGCAAGCTCTGCCCTGGTCTGGCCGCGGACCCTCCGCCTGCCACCTGCCCTCGCTGCTCATCTGTAAAACTGGGCTAGTAAAGGCACAGGGTTTGGATTAAAAGAGATCGGAGTGCGTGGACGCCTTTGCTGGGTCCTGGTGCCAGCCTGCGTGTGAGCTGGGGACTAAACTTCCTCTCCGTGAGTGCCTGCTGAGGGTGCGCGGGAGAGCGGCTCCCAGGCTTTGCCGGCTCCTCGGCAATGCCAGGGCTTCTGAAGCCATTCTCAGCCAAGTCGGCCATGTGGTGTGATGGTAACACTGCAGGAACATCCCCCCCCCCCCCCCCCCGGGAACTCTTCCTGGGTGACCCTGGGTGGTCATGGGAGATCCAGGGGATAAGATCCTTCAGAAGCTATTTCTAGGTCAAGAATATGCAAAATTGTAAAGTTTTTATGTTCATCGCCTCGAAAAGCAGCTTGGGATCATTGTTCAGATGATTCGGGACCCAGACTGCCTCTTCCTGTGTTCTTGGAGCCATGATGATGACATCTAATACATTTGTATGAGGATTAAATGAGTTCATGTTTGTTCATTAGAACAAGTGCCTGGCCCATTACTAAGAGCCATATTCATATTTAATTAAAAAATAAAAACACCTCTTTAATGCTGTCCAAGAGGACTGTGGCCATGCACAGCCCCCACTCCCGCCCCTGCCGAGCAGCTGCCAGGACTGAGCTGATCATGAACAGCAGGACGCTGCCAGTGTCACTTCCCACTACAGAGCCCCGTCTTTGAGCTGCCCCATAATTCAGGTTTGGTCCTTTGTGTTTTGAGGGGTTGGCACGGTATGTCTTGCCATCTCTCCCAGCTTCTGGGGTGCTGGCCAGCCCCCTCCCCTGCCTCTAACTGTGTCTCCTGTCTTTGCTAGCAAGTCTGCCTGGCCTCGCCGTGCTTCTGGATGACACGAGCTCCTCCCACACAGAGCTGTCCAGGTAAGGAGGCCTCCCACTGGCACGCAGGCTGGTGACCACCACGGCCTGGCCTTGACCCCTCCGTTCCCAGAATGCCCACACACACCGGCAGGGGAAGAGGCTTTGCGTGGGAGCAGAAAGGGGCGGGGCTTTGTGCACTGGGAGGACAGAGGCTCTTCCCGCCAAGCTTCCCTGAGGAACGCAGGGCAGCTAGCTCTCCCTGCAGGTCCGCGTGGGAAACGCAGCCCTCCCCACGCCGCTACCCAGTGCCAGCCGTGCCCCAGCCACTGGGCGTCCACCCCCCCCCCCCCCCACACACACACACACAAACACACTCAGCCGCCGTCAGGCTGGGAGCTGCTGAGGGCCTCCAGCCGCTCCTGGGCAGCACCGGCTCACGGGGCAGCATCCTCTTCGCCCTGGGCTGGGCAGAGGCGGGGCTGGCACTGCCTTGCACCACGTGTCCTCGGCCTCACACCTGCCTTACGGTTAACCAGGGAGCTTAGCGCATGCCCCCGGGGTCTTCTCTCCAGCCGGCATGATCCAGTCCCTGCCGCTCAGCAACGCCCGAGTCGGTGCTATGAATACAACCACCTCCTCCCTCCCCAGCGATGGCCGGCCGGCCCGGGCTGGGCACTTCCTGGACCGGCTGTTCGTCTGGCTGGGGCTCCGCAGGGACTAGGCCTCCGGAGCAGGTCTGTGCTGGACGGCGGCGCTCACCAGCGGCATTCTCTCCCGGTGCCAGTTAAACCCATCTCCTCTGGCCCGGGCCTCGGCCTCGGCAAGTTTTCGCCTCGATCTGGCACTTGGTATTGAGGTTTCAGCCCAGGCGGCCTGGGGGACAACCGGTGGGGAAGGCCAACAGGCACCTCTCCGATTCAATCTCAAGCCCCGGAGACTGACGGGAGCGGAAGTCCCAATGTCTCCCCAGGAAAGTTCATGCAAAAATGGTGACATTCATACCAGGCCTTCAGTGGCCTCACTGGCTGTCTACGTCCACTCCATGGGATCTTCCACAGACTCGGCGAGAAGGGCGCCCAGGAGGTGTGCCATAAAGGAACCTACTCGCCGGCCATCCCAGGACCCCTCCAGGCCTAGGGATCCCGGTCAGGGGAGGGGGGGGTTAAAGGGGAAGCCATGCCTTCGCCCCAGAAACACCTGCCCCCGGGGCGGGTGGAGAGCCCAGCGGTGAGAAGGCAAGGGGGGCCGGGTGCTGCCTGGACTCCGCCGGCGGGGCTGAAGCCCCAGCTGCTCACACCACAGGCGAGGCCCCGCCAGACAGGCCACAGGGCGCGGACCAGCCCCTCCAGGCGGTCAGGGTCACGCCTGCCTCGGTGGGGTCTCCCAGCTGCAGGTTCTGGGACACCCCCCCCCCCACCACCGTCTGCAGTTGCTGCCCTGGCAGCCGGGGCCCAATGGGCCGGGCCGGCGCTGCCTGGGGACCCCAACCAGCTGGACGGCGCTCCCCAGTCCCTCAGGCCCATGTCCTGTGGGGTGAACCTGCCAGAAACATGGCCCGCCCGCGACAGCACATCCACACAGACCCCAGGATGGGGGGACACAGCACCCCCTCCTCCCCACCGCACAGGAGGGCCTTCCTGGGCGCGGCCTGGCCGATGCAGGCAGGCTCCACAGGCTCAGCGCGCGGCTGGGGGGGGGCGGGGCGCGACGAGGGACGGACACTGCAGTGTTTGCAAACCTCACGGGCAGCGCTGTGGGCGTTGTAGCACGTGTTCCTCACAGCCTGGGGCGGGGGAGGGGAGTCGTGTCTTAAAAGGGAGGTTTCACTCATCTTCCAAGGAAAAGGGGCTCCGGCACGGCCCGGCCGCACGGCTGGTCCTGGCCGAGCTGCCGGAGCATCACCCAGCTTCCCGTGTTGGCCCTGCCCAGCCCCACGCCGGCTCCAAACTCCGCGGGCCTTGGGGAGCTACTGAACCCGAGGCTGCCCCTAACCCCAAACATGCACAGAGGAGCAGCCCCCGACCCGGTGCGGGGCTGAGCACACACATCCAGCTCCACAAGCCCGCCGGAGGCCACAGGCCTCAGCTCTGACAAGTTTTGGAGGAGAAAGGAACATGGAACCAAGTGAAGCATGCTCTTTCGCTGGACCCTTTTCACTTGATTGGCGGGTAAATAACATGACTTAAAGCCACACTTAACGCTCATCCCCAAAGCCATGCAAACCCTAGCTGCGCACACAGATACCCACGTGGGGCGGGTGCGCACAGGCCATTGCACAGCCAAGCCTCCCGGCCGTCCGAGGGTGGCCAGGCTGCACAGTGGCTGCACGTGGCTGGCTAATGAAAGCCAGGACTGCAGCAAGCCCGGGAGGGTGCCGGTTAGCCAACAGCAGATCCGCTGCAGGTCTGCTCCGGCCTCCCCCCGGCAGCCTCACTGGCAGTGGGGTCCTCCCCGACAGCAGGCCCCCCCCCCCCTCTCTCAGCCTCAGCGCGCACCTCTCTCAGCCTCACCTGCAAGTCTCTCAACAGAAACGATGCCTGCGCTCTGCCTGCTTTTGGCAAAGTGCGGGCTAACCCAACTAGAAGGGCAGCTCTGTGCCTGAGAAATCTCTACCCCTCACCCCCACAAAATGCCACGAATCACACCAAAGGGGGAAAAGCGGTATCTATTGTTCTGAGTCTCTTCCCCGAGCAAGAGGCGGAGCTCACGCCAGAGCAGGAAAGTCTTCAGGGTCATCCGGGTTTGGAGCAACGTCTTGTGTCTGAAAGAGAAGGGTGTTGGAACCAGCTGTCATTTCATCCCACCCCATCCGAGCGCTCACCGCACGCCGGGCAGAGGCGGGCGGCCCCCAGTGCAGCGCCAGGAGCTGCGCTGAGGGTGCCCCCTCCCTCTCACCCTCACTGCTGCCCGACCACTGAGTGCCTGGCGGTGCCCCCTCTCCTCGAACAAATCCTCCGAGTGACCCTTTTTCCATCTGGCACGTCCGTCACCCAGAGGACAGACAGGGGGTGGACCCCGTGGAGACACAGGATGATCCCCCGTTGTCCCGGGGGAGCTCACAGGGGAAGGGAGACAGATGGGAAGTCAGTGTGGAAACCGCAGTAGCAGACGCCCCGGGAGGGGTGTCCCATGCAGCTCGGTGGCCAAGCACACATCACGGTCAGGGAAGGCTTTCTGGAAGAGCAGGTTCATCCAACGAAAGGTTCTGTCCTGAGAATAGAAATTCACATTCTCCCCTTTGCAAGCAGAGCTCCACCACTGCGGCGCTGGTCAGGAGCGGGCGGCTCTGGAAGCTGCGCCCGCCCCTCCCTGCCGCCCACCTGTGCTCCAAGGCGCAGGACTGCGCAGGCCCCGCCCGCAGGCCCCGCCCCGCAGGCCCCGCCCTTCCAGAAAAGCCTGCCCCGCTGGTGATGAGTGCTTCATTACTGAGGTTCCCACACTGGCTTCCAGTCCGTCTCCCTTCACCAATGATGAACAAAAGAAACTGATGAATAAGGATAGAGACAGGGAAGCATCGAGCAGACTGTCCACCTCGGAGGGAGGGTAGGGAAGGGTGGGGGAAAGGGAGAGATCAACTTGAGTGCATGCCTATGAGCCTAACCTGTGGTCCCGGACAGCAGGGGATTGGGGACATACGTAGGGTGGGTTTGGGATGGGAATGGGGGGATATGGACAAATATGTGATACCTTAATCAATAAAGAAATTTTAAAATAAATAAATGTAAAAGTTCAGTTTTGTTCAAAACAATCCAGTCACCCAGTATACTAAAATTACACCAATCTTTATCCCTGAATGCAAACATACAACTTGAGGGACTATGTGTCCATTCATTTTCATATTGTCAGCACCTAGCAGAGTGCCTGCCATGTAATTAGTGCTCAATAAAAATATTTAAGAAGAAAAAAAAAAAAACAGAACAGAACCTTTCCCAACCTGGCCTCAACTGCAACCTGGAAACTTGTGATGTGTTCTGCTCTTGCTTAGGTATAAGCACCTGGGGCTGCTCCAGGGCTGCTCCTGGGAGCCAGGGAATAGCAGCAAAAGGAAGTCTGGGGGGTCAGCCAGGAGCGTCAGGAGGACTCTGGCCCACGCTGGCCACAGGGCCTCAGGCCCAACTCCTCCTAAACAGGTACTGGCATATCTGAGCACCAAACATGATGAAGCAGCTTCTAAGCTCACATGGTGCCAGGCCCCCGGGAAGCGGATAAAAGCAGACATGGCTGCTGCCGCCCACAGACACAATCCGCGATCACACCAGTGACAGCAGCTACCCCTGGAGATGGTGCTCCAAGAGAAGCAGTGTGCCCTGGTCTGGAGGGAAGCGGAACCCGGGAAGCCTCTGGGAGCGGGCAGGTCAGAGCTGTTCCCGGGAGGCAGGCAAGGGCCCTGCAGTGACCAGTAACTGCGCGGCCGGGAGGCAGAGCTGCCTGGGCAGAGGGGGAGCTCTGACTGGAGAAGGGCTGCGGGGGGCCTTCGGCCTGAAAGCTCGGGGTACAGGGCATGCCCTCAGGCACCGTGAAGGAGGAGGTCTGTTCTGATGCAGTGAGTCTGCTCTGAGCGCACCTGCAGGGCAGGCAGTGGACCGCTGGAGACCCTGGAGGCCAGGGCTATACCTGGTCTGTACCCAGCCGATGGCGGTGCTGACATCACTGTTCCAAACACTGACAGCAGACCCACTGGAGAGGAGGATCCACCACAGGACCCGGCGGCCCTCCGAAACCAGACTGTGCAGCCCAGGGCGCCGCCTCCTCGGGTTCTTCAGGAAGCCACCGGGATCAGAACACAAACACTTACCACCACTTCTGCTCTGGGTCCATAGTTCTCTGTCCTTCGGATCCTTCCCCGGCCTCCCCGTGTGCCACCTCTGGCTCCGCGCCCCGGACGAGGGAGGTTACCGAAATTAATCTCCAGCTGGGACGTGATGTCATTGGCCGCTTTCCGGAAAACATGGGCATCATCCTCGCAGTCATCCTTTACTATCTGAAACAGTGACAGCATCACACTCAGCTGTCTCCATGGACAGCACTGGACTCAGGGTCCCAGCGACACGCTGCAAGGGAGCGAAGGCCTCGTGGCCAGAGTGGCCTCCCTGGTGTGGCCGGCCTGGGCACAGGGTGGAAGAAGTGCCGCTCTTCCCAGCACAGGGCGCTGCACATCTCACAGCCACACAAGGGCTAATGCAAACGTCTGTAACTTACATTATTCCACTGAAACAAAAATTCCAGCGAGATGTACAATCGGACATGACTAACAGCAATTGAGATAAATGTTTTATATCTGTATATTTTGCTAAGATTAAAAGTTTTAAATTTCTGCTTTTAATTGCTCACAATAATACTTTGATAAGGAAATATTCTCCTTCCTTGAACAGAACTTGATGGAGAAACTCCTTTCGAAGGAGAGTGCTAACTGTACAAATACCAGATGTTAGAAACTACATGATCTGCAACAAACAATTCTTAACTCCGAATATATGCAATGGTCAAGTAACAGACTGGTTACCTGAGGACTGCTACCAATGCTGTGTCAAGAATGCCAGCCGTTTTTTAAGAACTACTTTACAAAATTCTTTTGAGAAAGCACATTTTATTGTAAGAGGTTAAATAAGTTCTGCCTCTTTTAAAAGAAAACTGTATTAAAAAAGTCTCTCCAATTTTGACTTGGCTTCAACTCCTAAAGGATTTTTTTTTTTAATCTCACTTTTAAGTAAAATACAAATCTACAGAAAATATACCCATGGTCTTGGATTAGACTCTCCAAAGTGCTATAAGGTTATACGTTCCCACAACTAGTCCAGGAAATAAAATCAAATTTCCCTGAGCACATCAACCCCCCTGGACTAATGTTCACTGCAGGTTTCATGGTTGGCATTCATGTCCCTTCAATGTCTCAGATTAAAAAAACAGGCCGCCCTGGCTGGTGTGGCTCAGTTGGTTGGAGCATCGTGCTGTGCACTGAAGGATTAAAAATAATAAAATAAAAAACAATTAAAATAAAGCACAAGCCTTAAGAATATGGATTCTTAAAGTTTAAACAGTGAGGAAAAACACACTGCCCCTCTGGTGAAAAGATGCACCAAAAGTCAGTGAGAGGCATGATTCCAAACTGGCAGTGGATCAAGAGGAAGCTACACTGACACTCTACTAGGACAGGGCTGAAATTACAACTAAAATGCAGAAAAACCATCCCGAATAATCAACTGAAGACTGGCTGGAGAGAACCTTGATAACCAAGGACAGAAAGTGGAGACCGCCGAGACCGGTTTGGCTTAGTGGATAGAGCGTCGGCCTGCGGACTGAAAGGTCCTGAGTTCGATTCCGGTCAAGGGCATGTACCTTGGTTGCGGGCACATCCCCAGTAGGGGGTGTGCGAGAGGCAGCTGGTCAATGATTCTCTCTCATCGATGTTTCTAACTCTCTATCCCTTTCTCTTTCTCTCTGTAAAAAATCAATAAAATATATTAAAAAAAAAAAAAAAAAAAAAAAAAAAAGGAGACCACGTAGGAAGAGCGGAAGTACAAAAGAACTGGCCGGGCTCCCATAGACAGACAGACAGACAGACAGAAGCTGAAGTTCTGAAGAGAGATCTCAGCTGTGGGGGTTCCCATTAAGAACTCTGAGGTTTAATCCGCCAAGCTGGGATCCCCAGCCCAGAGCATTTGAACTAGGAAAGGAGCCCACATAACATCTGGCTGTGACAAGAAGTAAGGTTGCTATCTGCCAGCCAGAGATGGCTAGAAATGCAGGCACCCTCTTAAAGGCCCAACACATTTTGAGAGCAGCCACTCAGCTTGACTCCAGCAAAGGAAGGGCAGAGTGGATTGGAGCTGTATGAGCAGAAGTTAGGGTTAGACCTCAGAAGACAGACAACCCGATTTCCTGTGCTGAGTCATTCCCTCATACTGCAGAGGACCTCTTTCTCTGGCAGACCATTGCCCTCCAGGCAGCTTTTGCCTGTGGGGAAGCAATTGTGCCACCCTGTTAGAAAACCTTGGGACCCACCCTGTGGAGTCTATGCCTCGCTAGGGTTAATCGCCTAGGGCTAATCAAGTCTGAATAACAATCAGACTGCAAGCAGAGGGAGTCTTTGCTTGATCTCCTCTGGCCCGGGGCTGGGGAAAGCAGACCTTGGCACACATCTTACTTCTTCCCAAAGGCACCCAGCCGCAGCAGAGGGAGCCACAAGCTGTGGATTGCTAGTAGCTCCAAACAGGTACTCAAGGCCAGTCAGATACAGCGTGACACTGTCCTACACTAGAGGTTGGGAGGAAGTAGCAGGGTTACCTAATATATACATAGACACAAACCCAAACAGGCAGCCAAAATGCAAGACAAAAAACAAACCCAAACAAAGGACAAGAGAATTCTCCCAAGAACAGCTAAGTGAAATGAAGATAATAAATTTATCAGATATAGAGTTCAGAATAATGATAGCAAGGATGCTCAACAGCATGAGAAAAGATACAATAACTAAGGAAAAAATAGTAAGAAATGAAGAATGACATAATACTAATAAAGAACAAATTGGAAGGAATACACGTCAGATTAGGAGAAGCTGAGGATCAGATCAGTGAATTAGAAGACAGGGTAGAAAAAATCAGAGAACCAGAGAGAAAAACAATTAAAAATCAGGAGGACAGCTTAAGGGACATGTGGGACAACTTGAAACATAACAATAATTGCATCATAGGAATGCCAGAAAGGGAAGAAAGTGAGCAAGGGATAGAGAGCATGTGTGAAGAAATAATGGCAGAAAACTTCCCTAATTAGGTGAAGGAAAAGGTCACACAAGTTCAGGAAGCACAGAGAGTTTCAAGCAAGAAGGACCCAAATAGCTTCCCCAACACAGACTCTTCATAATTGAAATCCCAAAAAGTTAAATATTAATACAAAGAATCTTAAAAGGCAGCAAGAGAAAAGCAATTTGTTACCTACAAAGGAGTTACTATAAGGTTGTTAGCTGATTTTTCATGAGAAACTTTATAGGCCAGAAGGAAAAGACATGAAGTATTCAAGGTAATGAAAACCAAGGATCTGCTTTTAGTAACCAAGATTACTATATCCAGCCAGGCCAGCATGGCTCAGTGGTTAAGCATGAACCAGGAGGTCGCAGTTTGACATCCAGTCAGGGCAGATGCCCAGGTTGTAAGCTTGATCCCCAGTGTGGGGCAGGCAGGAGGCAGCCTTCAATGAATCTCTCATCACTGATGTTTCTATCTCTCTTTCCCTCTCTTCCTTCATCTCTGAAATAAATAAAAATATATACTTTTTAAAAAGATTGCTATATCCAGCAAGAATATCATTCAAAATAAATGGTGAAATAAAGAGCTTCCAAGACAAAAAAAAAAAAAAAAAAAAAAAAAAGTTAAACAGTTTATCACTACCAAACTAACACTACAGGAAATGCTAAAGGAACTGCTATAATGAGAGAAAATAGAAACCTAGGCATAAAGAATTAAAATGGTGCCAACACCGGTTTGGCTCAGTGGATAGAGCGACCGTCTGGGAACTGAAAGGTCCCAGGTTCGATTCCGGTCAGGGGCATGTACCTTGGTTGTGGACACATCCCTGGTAGGGGGTGTGCAGGAAGTAGCTGACAGATGTTTCTCTCTCATTGATGTTTCTAACTCCAACCCTCTTCCTTCCTCTGTATAAAAAAATCAATAAAATATATGTATTTTTAAAAGAATTAAAATGTCAATAAATAAGTACCTATTAATAATAGCCTTAAGTATAGATTAATTAAATGCTCTAATCAAAAGAAACAGGGTAGCTACATGGATATGAAAACATGACTCAAATATACACACTGTCTACAAGAAACCCACTTCAGAACAAGAGACTCCAGAATGAGTGAGAAGGGATGGAAAAAAAATTTTTCCATACAAATGGAAATACAAAAAAATACACAAACAAACAAATAAAAAAAACTGGGATAGCAATAGTTATCTCTGACAAAAGAGACTTCAAAATGAAGGCCATCACAAGAGACAACAAAGGTCACTACATAATACTAAAGGGTCTGATCCAATTAGAGGATATAACCCTGATAAACATATTTGCACCCAATATAGGAGCACCTAAATATATTTAAAAAACAAGACTTTCTGGAAGACATTAAGGGAGAGATCAACAGCAATACAGTTATAGTAGGGATCTTTAAGACCCTGATGATTTCATTGAATAGATCTTCCAGACAAAAAAAAACAAGGAAACAATGATTATAAATGGCATACTTAATCAGATGGATTAAACTGACACTTATAGAACATTTCACCAAAAACTGCAGTGCACATGGGTCATTCTCAAAGACAGACCAGCTGGTTAGGACACAAAACAAGTCTTTATAAGTTCAAGAAGATTGAAATCATATCAACATCTTTTCAGATGACAATGGAATTAAATTAGAAATCAACTATAGTAAAAATACCACAAAACGTCCTAACACATGGAGGCTAAATAGCATGTTATTAAACAATGAATGGATTTTCAATAAGATCAAGAAAGAAATCAAAAACTTCCTGGAAAGAAATGAACACACAACAACCCCAAATCTCTGGGACACAGCAAAAGCAGTTCTGAGAGGGAAATTCATAGCACTACAAGCCTACCTAAAAAATAAAAAATAAAAATAAATTTAGTAATAAACTAATCCTATAACTTGAAGAATTAGAGAACAATAAGACATATTAGACAGAAATAGATGACATAGAGACTACAGAAACAACACAAAAGACCAATGAAACCAAGAGATGGTTCTTTGAAAAGAAAAACAAGATTGATGAACTGTTTGCCAGGCTCATCAAGAAACAAAGATAGAGGAGCCAAATAAATAAAATCAGAAACAAAAGCAGAGAAGTAACAACTGAAACCACAGAAATACAGGATTGTAAGAAAATACCATGAACAACTATTTGCCAACAAGCTGGACAATGAATGTACTGGACAAATTCCTAGAAAAATATAATCTCCCAAAACTGA